CACATTGTTCACCGCCTAAGGCTGATGTTTGGCAATGCCATGATGGGTAACCAAAGGTTTGGCAAGAGCAGCCTGGCCATGTACATCGACCCTGTGTGGCTCCACAGGAGAGTTGAGTGGCCAACTACGGACAATTTAGCCTACTCAGTTCACCTGTACCGCATGTCTTTGGACTGTGGGGGAAACCACTTTACTCACTATAACTCACTATACCAAATACGATAGAAAATTATATTATATATGTAGTTCATAGGCATAATTTCCACTTCTAGAAATTTATTGGGGCCCCACAGATGTCCTGGGTCCCTAAGCGGCCGCTTACCTTGCTTATTGGTTAAATCTGCCCCTGCTCGGTTGTAGCTAGTGGTTATTTGATTTACTGTTGCCTTTCTATCAGCTGGAACCAGTCTGGTCATTCTCCTCTGACCTCTGGCATCAGCAAGGTATTTGCGCCCACAGAACTGCCACTCACTGGATATTTTGTCTTTTTCAGACCATTCTCTGCAAACCCTAGAGATGGTTATGCGTGAAAATAACAATAGATCAGCAGTTTCTGAAATACTCAGACCAGCCCGTCTGGCACCAACAACCATGCTACATTCAGTCACTTAAATCACCTTTCTTCCCCATTCTGATGCTCGGTTTGAACTGCAGCAGATCGTCTGGACCATTTCTACATGCCTAAATGCATTGAGGTGCTGTCATGTGATTGGCTGATTAGAAATTTGCCTTAACGAGCAGTTGGACAGGTGTACCTATTAAAGTGGCCGGCGAGTGTATATAGCTAAATTAACTTTATATAATCAGGCAAAGTATGTATGAACATACCTCTAAAACCTTCAGAATATAAATCTGAATAAAACTATTGAATTTGGTGTAAGTGCTGCTGAAGTGGAGATTTATTATGGCTAATTATTTAATAAAGATTTATAGAGGATCAAAAGCCCAAATTTTCAAAATTGATAGAGTCATGGATGTTTTTGCCTCCAGTGTCTTGTCATAAGTCCTTTAATTATAAAACTTTTTTTTTTATTTCAAGTCAAAAATTAATCACAACAAAGGACAAAAGTTCAATGTTTTGGATGTAAATCTGTATTTATGTCGAGGTTAACATTCAAATACAAACAGACAAAGCTGATGATGAACAAACACAGCGGACATGAACTGGAAAAAGATTAGACAGCGTGTGGAAACAAACATCTCTGAAAACTGCTCATTTTATCTCTCCTAACATCCTGTTATCCAGGACCGACCCACACTTGCACTCATTAAACATCATCTTTTTAATATGAAAAATATCAGTTATATTCAATGGCTTAAAAAATATGCTTAGTGTGTAAAACTATATCTGTACAGCATCAATAAATTCAAAGGATGATTTTACTTCACATAGTAAAAATAACAAATATCTTTCCGTTTCCAGACCCCAGCTCTTTAAAATGCACTTCATGATTAGAAAAAGAGTTATCACATGGTTTAGCAACAATACGCACCATTTCTTTGAAAGCTTCATTACATGATATTCAATAGCTCAGTGTTTTGTGAGGAAATGTACTCTCTCTAAAGTGTATGTTTCAAACATACCTGGCACCCAGATATTTTGGGCTGTGACAATATCTAGCAACAAATCTATGTTTTTTCTAACTCTAAAGCTAAAGCTTGTTTAATTTTGGTCCTCAACTTTTTCAGTTAAAGACTCCATCATTTCATTTACATGACGGACACAGAACAACACAAGTGTGTCCATTTTGTAGAAAGACTCGTACAGGAGCAAAATTTACACACGTTCCTCTGGAGTAGCAGATGTGTAGGCCTGTCACAATAATTCATATATTTTATTGATTTATCATGCAATACACTGATATACAGTAGACAACATTCATTTTTCTTCGGCTAAATCCCCTTGTTTATCAGTTGTCACCACAGTGGAATGAACCGCCAACTTATCCAGCATATGTTTTACACAGCGAATGCATTTTCAGCTGCAACCCAGTTCTGGGAAACTCCCTTAAACACTCATTCACACACATACACAACGGCCAACTCAATTTATTCAATTCACCTATAGCGCACGTCTTTGAATTGTGACTTAGAACATGCAAACAGAAATGTCAACTGACCCAGCAGGGGCCTGAACCAGTGACCTTCTTGCTGTGAGGTGACAGTGCTAAACACTGAGCCACTGTGCCGCCCAGTAGCCAAGATTTAAACTAAAACCTTTCTTCAAATTTGCTCTAAAACATCTTCACAACACCCATATTATCTTATCAACTTCAAATTTCAAATTATGAGACTTGCCCACAGAAAAACCCATGTGTGGCCCAAAGGGTAAAATATTTTAGGGGCCTGCATGTGTTTTTCTGTGGGATTGTCCTGCCCACAGTAAACCCACAGTGAGCCCACACTGGCATGTTTGCTGGGAATGCTGATTACAGTTTATCGTTCATTGTGTTTACATAAAATTGAACGTCACCAACATGTTAGCTGATTGCACAACCTGTCGTCAAGCGAGCTCAGGAGTATCCTTTAGAAACAATGCGAACATTTTCACATTTTCCTAAACAATACTGAAGGTTTGGAAGTAGTTATTCAAACCTGCACTTCACTTCCAGAAAATGTGACGTGTTATATTAATATTAATGTTAAATCCATTTTCCAAAGACATTTACATCGTACGTCACCAGTTTACTTACTTTTCAACATCTAATTACACCATTCAAATAAGATAATTTACCCAAAAATGTAATTTCTACCCTAATTTACTCATCGTTAACTTGTTTCTTGTGGCCTGTACCATGAAGCCAGATTAGCTGTTTAGCCAGTTAAATTTCAGTTTAGTTTGCACCAATCTTAGGTTTTAGGGACCATGAATGTAGCTCAGCTGTAATGTAGATGAATGTAGCTGTTGCTTGTTGCCATGGGAACTTACACTTCAAGGCTAACCTGCTCCTAAAAGTGAAATGAAAAAAAAATTAAATTCTATCATTTACTAACACATTGTTTTAAACCCGTGGCCTCTAACACGAATCCAGATTAGCTGGTTAGCCAGTTAAGTTGCACCAATCTTGGGTTTTAGGTATCATGAAGGTAGCTCAGCTTTAATTGCTCTTCGTTACCATGGTAAATTATGCTTCAAGTTTAAGCTGCTCTAAAAATTAAATAAAAAAAATCTAAATTCTGTCATCATTTACTTATCATCAAATAGTTTCAAGCTTGTGGCCTGTACCATGAATCCAGATTAGCTAGTTAGACAGTTAAGTTTCGGTTAAGTTTAACACAATCTCACCGCAACTTTAGTGGCTAATCCATATGAATATGTACAATCTCATTTGTATAATTTAGTATGATTTGCTCATTTAGATGTGGTGTTAGGTGCCACGCCTTCTTTTTAAAATCATAAAATTGTGTACGACTGAACTCGTACAAATTAGCCACTGAACGGACAAAACATAAAATAGTTATGTTATCTTGTGAGATCAGTCTGTTTAGTTCGCACTTATCTTGGGTTTTAGGTATCAATAAAGTAGCTCGGATTTAATCGCTTTTTGTTGTCATGGTAACTTACACTTCAAGGCTAACCTGCTCTAAAAGTGAAATGAACTTGTTTCAAACCTTTGACTACTACCATGAATCCAGATTGGCTGGTTAGCCAGTTATGTCTTGGTTTAGTTTGCACTAATCTTGGGTTTTAGATACCATGAAGGTAGCTCAGATTCAATTGCTCTTTGTTACCATGGTAACTTACAAGGCTAACCAGCTCCTTTTTAAAATCATACATTTGTGTGCGACTGAACTCAACGAATTAGCTACTAAACTGACAAAACTTAAAATAGTTACATTTCCTTGTGAAATCAAGCTGTTTAGTTTGCACCAATGTTGGGTTTTAGGTACCCTGTAAGTATCTCAGCTTTAATCGATTTTGTTGCCAACCTGTTCTGGGGGCTAACTCAGGATTGGTGTAAACTAAACTGGCTAACTAGCTAATCTGGCTTCATGGTATGACTGGCTTTACTGTTCGAGTTTCCTTCTCCGGTTGAACACAAAGGAAACCATACTGAAGAATGCTAAAAAAAACAGCCTTTGACATCTATAGTATTATTTTATAGTATTTCTTATTCCTACTATAGATGTCGATTACTGCTTTTCCCCAACAGATATTCTTCAAGATTATTTGTTTTGTGGTCAACAGAGACAGAAACTCATAAAAGTTTAAAACCACTTGAGTGTGCGCAAATGTTGAGGAAATTTGACATTTTTGGGTGAACTATCCCTTTAAGAATGAAATGCTTTTGTCCCCTGAAAGTGTATATTATCATGCTGTTGTATAATCATTATTTAACCACTGGCCTTATCACGTATCGCAATACTTTGTGATAATACGCCGGCAGCTAGCTCTCTGCAACTCTCGCATGGTCCCCCACTGAAGCTAAGCAGGGCTGCACCTGGATGGGAGACCACATGGGAAAGCTAGGTTGCTGCTGGAAGTGGTGTTAGTGAGACCAGCAGGGGGCGTGCAACATGCGGTCTGTGTGGGTCCTAATGCCCCAATATATTGATAGGGACTCAATACTGCTCAGTGAGTGCTGTCTTTCGGATGAGACTCTTTCCTGACTCACTGTGGTTGTTAAATGTCCCAAATATTTTTCAAAATAGTTTAACCTTCGAAAAATAGTTTAACCCTGGCATCCTGGCCAAATCTGCCCCCTGGCCTCTGTCCATCATGGCCTCCTAACCATCCCCATATCAAAATTGGCTTCATCACCCTGTCTCCTCTCCTCCAATCAGCTGGTGTTTGGTGTGCAGTCTAGCACAATATGGCTGCTGTCGAGTCATCCAGGTGGATGCTGCACACTGTATATATATATATATATATATATATATATATATATATATATATATATATATTCTTGCACAACAGAAATGATTTATCATGACAGGCCTAGAGATGTGCAATAAGAATTACCCCACTATATATTAAATGCAGACATTAAATAAAGCGAGAGAGTTCATTTGTGATGTTTCCAGTACATTAAATGCATTCAAGACCTTCTTCAAGTGTAGCGAGTCCCTAAATATTCCTTTACTCCTGCATTTCTGCGAACAAATATGAAGCAGATTGATCGTCAAACAATGCAATGGCTTGCTCATGAACTCAGTAAATGTAAGCATTGCATAAAAGACACAACAAGACAAGCATAAGGCCACAAAATTGAACACATAAAATTAAAACCACGTAAAAAAAGCGCATCCGTCAGTGCTGCATACACACACACACACGCACGCACGCACGCACGCACGCGCACACACACACAAGGGACAAGTGTGTGTTGAAGAACACAAATGAACATCCAGGAAAGCCTGCAGAAGTCTATTTTCTCTCTTTACATTCAGGATGTGCGTTATAAGAGAAGTGTTATTTGAGGAGTTTTTTGGCTGTGTTTTGTTTCTTGTTCTGCCAGAGGTGGCTATAGATGGTGATGGCGTCCACACTCGCCGACATGGTCTTGGCGGGGATTTTGCTGAACTGCTTCTTATCCGAGCTGTATTTGTAGAGGTTTTCGATCATTTTGGGTGTGATGGTCTTGGGCCCGATGCCAGCCAGCTTGTTCATCTCCTCCGCTTCAGGATAGTAGGTGTACAGAGAGCGAAACTGGCAGCCAGTGTCTCGAAACAAAATCAGGAAGTTGTTGGCTTCGGTTTTCTCCATTTCCTGGGTGGGAAATGATAACAAACATCCATAGAAATTTGAAATCATTTGTTATTACTCTTCAGGGTTTTAAAAACAGTCTAGGGGCAGTATTTTAACGATCTACTGTAGGCACAAAGTCTTAAGCACATGGCGCAAAAGCATTAAGAGCATGTCCGAATCCACTTTTGCTATTTTAAGGATGGAAAAATTCGCTCTGTGCCCCGGCGCATGGTCTAACAAGGTTGTGCTTATTCTCTTAATGAGTTATGAGTGTGTTTTGAGCATAACATGCATTAACCCAATCAGAATCTCATCTCACATTCGCTTTAAGAGTCAGTTGCATTGTGCAAAGGCACGTTGGCCCTTTTTAAATGTTGATCCATACCTCTACCTTAAGAAAATCAAGAATAATTTAAATAAGAATTGTTTAACCATTTATAGGGCAAAACACTATAAATAGTAACTTAATTTAGTTTACTTAATTAACTTTTTTATATTTATATACTTAATTTACTTTTTTTATATTTTTATATTAACAATATAATACCGATAACTAGGGGTGTCACGATTTTTAATCGAAATCGATCGAAATTTATGCTCAATTTCGATTATCAAATCAAAAAATAGAATCGTTGATGCTGCCACGCCCCCATGTCACGTCAGCTTGGCTTGCCAAGCGGGAAAAAAACAGGCTTGTTGAAGTGCTTGTTAAACTGCAGAAGCAGGAGACCCGTCTACAGAACTTAAACCCTCTCCTCTTTCAATGAAGTCGCCGGTGTGTAAGCATTTTGGATTTCCAGTGACATTCGTGTTCTCGACAAAAAAAAACACAGTTTTGCAAGCTCTGCTATGTACATATTACGTACGGTTCGTCCGATAGACAACACCGGCATCGCGATCCTCCGCCCGCCCCCGTTGCAAATCCGCTCGCGAAAAGTACACACTCAGACCCTGTTTACACTGTCTTTGTTTTTAAATGGCATTTTAGAACGACAACGATTTGACATCCACAGTGGCGTGTGGCATTTCTGAGCAGCCCTCCTTCCTCTCTACCTCTGAAAATGCACATCACGTGACCAAACAGACGCACTCACAGCCATGCGCTCGAGACAGCAGGTCCAGGCAGTCAGAGGACTGCTTCAATCTTTCACTCACTTGTACTTAGTCATTTTAGCGAACACCTCAGATACTGTTGGCTGGTTCCTGTTGGTTGTGCGTCTTTTTTACCGATGCCATTATAACGACACAGATCACTGCCTATTCACGAGTCCGGCAGAAAAAAGTGATTGACAGGTGGTAATTATGTGTGTATCTTGCCTTTATTCATTTACTGTATGATTTGTTTATAGGTAAAACAAAGACCATGCAGGTCAGGTAGTTTAAACGGTAGGCTACAAATAATTAATTGGTCATTAATTAATTAATTATTCATAATCGAAAACCGAATTGAATCGTGCCTTTAGAATCGAAAATGTAATCGAATCGAGGATTTGGAGGATCATGACACCCTTACTAATAACAATAAAAATAATAATAAGTTTGAGTCATAATAGATCTAAAGTGACCTCCAGGATCTTGTTCTTCTGTCCCTCGTTGACGCGGCCCGCAAGGCAGCAGTGCGCCAGTGCGTTCTGGATAATGTATTTATTTGATTTCGCACTGGGCTCCTTGTACAACTTTGGCCCTGCAGAAGAAAAGACATGAGAATTAAAGAAACCATCAAAGCTTTGTGAGCAGACTAATAAGGAGGGTTAAGGTTTGGACATTTGGTAGCGTGCAAAATAAAAGTTTAACTTTTTTCAGATGGAATATAATAGGTTCATATAATACTGCAGGACTGTCATCTTACCTGTGTATTCTGTGTTAGATGCTGCGGATGATGTTGATTCCAGCTCCCAGTTTTCCCCGTTTCCACTAACAGAAGGACAGGGTGACAGAAAGCCCTCTGCAGACTCCGGCCTGACAATGAACACACACACACACACTCACAATAAACAGATCTGAAATATTCATTTAACTCTTGAGCTTTTATTGCTGCTGGAAAAGGTAACCATAAAGCTGCAAAATTAATAGAAAATAGTAAGCATAAATCCACATGTGATGCCAGAAAGCCGTGATGCAAAAATCACAGAAGCAAAGGATGAATGGAGCAGAAATAGTGTACTTATTGCATTGTTTAATTATGCCTCCCTATTTACAATGTACACAATATTCTTAAGGTCTCCAAACCACCAGGGGGCCCCATTTGTTCTCAAATTATTTAATGAATAGAATTGAATAGTTTTAACGTTTAAAATTTAAAGTTTTAGTCCCGTTATTTTTTCTGATTTTCAAAAAATTGTGAAAAGATAAGACTGTCTAAACCAAATGTTATGCGATAGAAGCATTTATATACCAGCCATTCATTTAATATCAGCCAATGCACTCCAATGATATGGTAAGGGTTATAATCTAATTAATACATATTTAACCAATTTTAACTTATTAAAAGTGCATAGGCAGAGTGATTGATATTGTTGGTTTGCATTGAGTCATACTTCTGACTTTCATTGTCAAACCATTTGCTGGTTATTTTATTTTCAAGATCTGCTGCTGCTTTCAGTAGTATGGCAATAAATATAATGTAAAATGGTATTTAACTCACATCGTTAGCATTTAACACTGAATGATGCACATAATCTAAACCCGAGGTAATCAGGTTGCGTGTTGTGGCACCACGTTGCATGTAGCTAGGACATGGTTTTGAGTTGTATTCAAAAGAGTGCAAAGCAGTATCTAAGTTCAATGTAGTCTGCCTTTAAATAATAATTTTGTTTTAACTGTGTAAAATTAATTATGTATGCCCCAATTTCTGTTTAACGGAGAGCAGATTTTTTTTCAACACATTTCTAAATACAATAGTTTTAATAACTCATCTCTAATGACTGATTTATTTTATCTTTGCCATGATGACAGTACATAATATTTTACTAGATATTTTTTAAAACACTTCTATAAAGCTTAAAGTGACATTTAAAGGCTTAACTAGGTTTATTAGGTTGACTAGGCAGGTTAGGGTAATTAGGCAAGATATTGTATAACAATGGTTTGTTCTGTAGAATATCGATAAAAAAAATAGCTTAAAGGGGCTAATGATATTGTCCTTAAAATGACTTTTAAAAAAACTGCTTTTATTCTAGCCAAAACAAATAAGATTTTCTCTAGAAGAAAGAATATTATCAGACATACAGTACTGTGAAAATGTCCTTGCTTTGTTAAGCATTATTTTGAAATCTAAAAAAAAAAGAAGATAAAAATTTAAAGGGGGCTAATAATTCTGACTTCAACTGTATATATATATATACACACACACACACACAAACACAAACACACACACACACACACACACACACACACACACACACACACACACACACACACACACACAGTTGAAGTTAGAATTACTAATCCCCCTTTGAATTTTTTTCTTCTTTTCAAAATATTTCTCAAATGATGTTTAACAGAGCAAGGAAGTTTTCACAGTATGTCTGATAATATTTTTTCTATCTAGAGAAAGTCTTATTTGTTTTATTTTGGCTAGAATAGCAGTTTTTACTTTTTTAAAAACCATTTTAAGGACAATATTATTAGCCTCTTTAATCTATATTTTTTAATAGTCTACAAAACAAACCATCATTATACAATAACTTGGCTATTTACCCTAACCTGCCTAGTTAACCTCATGAACCTAGTTAAGCCTTTAAATGTCACTTTAAGCTGTATAGAAGTGTCTTGAAAAATATCTAGTCTAATATTAATATAGTAAAAAAAATCAGTTATTAGAAATGAATTCCTAAAATTAATATGTTTAGAAATGAAAAAATATTCTCTCCCTTAAACAGTATTTGGGGGAAAAATAAACAGGGGGGTTGATACTTCAGGGGGCTAATAATTCTGATTTCGACTGTATATATAAGCCGAAAAGAAATATATAATATACACACACACACACACACCCATGTATACAGTGGAAGGCAAAATGATAGGCTCTATTCTAATGATCTAGGCGCAAAGTTTAAAGCGCATAGTCCAAAAGCATTAAGGCATGTCCAAATCCACTTTTGCTATTTTAATGATGGAAAAATACAGTTTGTGCCCTTGTTACGTTTTAATTAAGTTGTTTAGGGCAAATAAACGTAACACTTATAATATTAAATTAATACTGAGTAGATGGATGTAAAATATACCAGGATACAAAATTTACATTCAATTCGTTTATTCTAGGAGAAGAAAACTGAAGCCAACAAAAAAGAGGCTTACATGAGTGCGCTTTGTACAATGTGAATGGTCTAACAGGGTTGAGCTTATTCTCTTAATGAGTTATGGCTGTGTTTTGAGAATAAACCAATCAGAGTCTCATTTCTCATTCCCTTTAAAAGTCAGTTGCGCTGCTCCATGGCACATTTGCTATTTACATGACGGACTTTGTAAGTGGAAAAACTGAACACTTCACTAGTGAGAAAACAGTTAAACAGAGCATCTGCAGCGCAAGGATAAAGAATGAGCCTCTTATAATAAGCCTCTTTACTTTCTCTTTCTCTCTTTCGTGGATAAGGAAACAGTGTTGTATGCACTCCACTGAAGACATCCATTAGCCTACATAATAAATTTAGTTTGTTAGGCTAAATTCAGTTCTAATTTCCAGCAAACTAATAAAGTGTGGTCAAAAACTGAGTTATATCCAAACACAAGCCCTATTTTTTTGCCCAATATGATCCAAAATCCCACAGGTGAACAAATGTAAGCTTGTTTTTAATAAATCAAATATAAATATGAACATAATAAGTAATACTACTGATAATAATAACATTATACAAAAGCAAACTGTCAAGAATAACTGACAAATGCTGCTCGACATGAAGAAGGCACAGAGGCAGTGTTTTTTTATTTATGTATAAAATAACCATTTATGTAATATTTTAATCCTTCAATTCTTTTTCATTTGTAAAGATATTTGTGTATTGCTGTACATCCTGTGTTTCTTAAGCATTGTGTAAGCACTTAAGGTGCACAACTTACGCGCTCTGCGTTGGACTTTAGACCTGCTTTCAGCTGGTCTATTGCAGTCTATTTTAGTTACTCAAAATAGTAATGCGCCAACAATGCACCTTAACACACCTCTTTTCTAGACAGCACACCCACGAGTCCACAAAGTAGCGCAAATGGATTTGCTATTTAAACAATGTGGTGCAAAACGTAAATAATTATGGTTGCGCAGGTCTGAAAATAGCGATAAATCGACCCAAACATGTCTTGTGCCTTATTACGCCGGGTGTATGATAGAGCCCTATATCTTAAATTTTTAGGTGAACTATACCTTTAAGACACAATGCTAAATTGAGTCTTAAACAACTGCTAAAAGATGAGCTGTTTTTTGCAAAAAATAATAAGAAAGCCAACAACAAACAGCAAAATAAATAAATAAATTACGTAAGCAAGAACTGCAAAGCTGTACGATGTCCCATTCATAGTTTTATCACATAAATGATTCCGAAGTAATGATTATACAACAGCTGATCAACGAGTGAAGTGATCTGTAAAAAGCGAATGAGTTTGTCCATCACTGAAGCTGAAATGACAGTGATCAGCCCTTGTGAGCTGATGATATGAATGTGATGCCGTCCGCAAACTGACCTTCCCTTTCTCCCTTTAGGAGAGCTCAGAAAGAAACACAGACTACCAGGAGACAGTCTGCTGCCTCTGAGCAACCAGCACAGAGAAAACACACACACCACACACACACAGTGTTAGGAACTTAGGACCTAGTACTGATTAATATAACAACTCAATAGGTCTCAGTAGAAACTGTCATTGTACTTGAATGATATTTTACAGTAAATTAGCCACAGTCTCACCTGGATGTTCTCTTATCTGATTGGATGCTCTCATTGTCTGCTAAGTTCAGGGAGGCGAGTGATATGCTGGACACAGAATATCCACGAGGACGTGACCCTGGACACATAAAGACACAATTTTACGCATTATCATATACACATTTTTTCCTGTTTTTAGCCTGCTGTGGCAAATATTCATACTTTTTTGAGTGTATAGTTTTAATACAGTTTAAAAAAAGATGTACCCACAGGTTAAAATTAATAGTTCTTATAAACAGAACAAAACTTTGGAAATGCTTCAAGACACAAAATGTGCAATATTTGTTAAATTAATTTTGCTATTATTTTTTAAATTTACAGTGTAAAAATAATTGTAAAAATTGTCTATATATACACGTGTGTGTGTGTGTGTGTGTATTTTTACATACATACATACATATATATATATATATATACATACATACATACATATACATACATATACATATATATATATATATATATATATATATATATATATATATATATATATATTTACAGTTGAAGCCAGAATTATTAGCCCCGCTGAAATATTAGCACCCGTTTATTTTTTTCCCGATTTCGATTTAGCAGAGATTTTTTCAACACGTTGGGAAATGTTTACAAAAGAAAAAAAAAAATCAAAGGGGGGCTAATAATTCTGACTTCAACTGTAAATACTAAACATACTGTTTCAGTAAACAATGATTCTTTGAGCCCATGTCTAAAATGCAATTTACATGTTTTAATGCATTAAAATTGTATAATAGTATTTAATGTAATAGAACATTACACTATTATTTAAAATAATTATGATTATGATTTAAAATATTAAAATACAGTTGAAGTCAGAATTATTAGCCCCCCTTTGTTTTTTTCTTCTTTTAAATATTTCCCAAACGATGTTTAACAAAGTATAGGCATTTTCAAATTATGTCTGATAATGTTTTTTCTTCTGGAAAAAGTCTTATTTAGGCTAGAATAAAATCAGTTAAAAAAAAAAAAACATTTTAAGAACAATATCATTAGCCCATTTAAGCTAATTTTATTTTCGATTGTCTACAGAACAAACCATCGTTATACAATAGCTTGCTTAATTACTCTAACCTGCCTAACCTAATTAACCTAGTTAAGCTTTTAAATGTCACTTTAAGCTGTATAGAAGTGTCTTAAAAAATATCTAGTCAAATATTATCTACTGTCATCATGGCACAGATAAAATAAATCAGTTATTATAGATGAGTTTTGAATCTCTCCGTTTAACAGAAATTAGGGAAAAAATAAACAGGGGGGCTAATAATTTAGGGGGGCTCATAATTTTGACTTCAGCTGTTGGTAAAAATTGTTTAAAACTACACAAATTCTATATTGTCTTTAGCAGGTTTAAAATGTCATCGACAATACCCAGATAGCAGGTAGTAATTGGGCCGAGCTCAGCTGCCCTCCGGCACATCCGGCTCCGAGTGCGCCTACAGCTCGCTCGCACACATGCGTTTGTGATGTGGAATTTATTCTGATCAAGTTCATTTAAAAATAAGTTTGTCTTTATACTTCTGCAATTTTATATTTATATATTTTTTGGATATTATTATTAGTATTTTAATGTTTTATTAAAAGATGTTTCTTCAGAATTTGGCAGTTCTTTTTACAATTTTGACTTGTACATTTTACGGATTGTCATTGGTATTTGTAAGATGTTTCTTGCTATATCTTAAATTGGTTTCTATATTCAGGTTTCTATAAAATTTAGCTGTTTTAAGATGTGTCTTGAACAATATTTTAATTCAAGTCTATTGGGAAAACGGGGTTGTTTTAAAAACTTCTTTGTATGTGTGCAAATTCAGATTTTTTCTTTAAATCTTCCTGTGTGTCTTTCTTGTGTAGTTTTATTGTTGTTTTTATATTGATGTTCTTGTGCACTGCAAAATTATTCATTTAATTTTAGTACTATTGTTTTCTTGCAATCAATAAACGTTTATCATTCATTTATTTTGTCCTTTGTTTGATTATTTTCGTTATAGGATATGTATGCTGTGTGCATTTTATTCAAAGGTTAAACGCAGCGCCTACACTTTGTGTTTACATTATAGCCTGCGTTTGCTGTTATATAAATTCAAATGGTTGTAATACTGTAACTGCCCATGATTTAATGCACTCGCCTTGCTTGCCATAATTGGAGTCACCACAGGAGGGCGCTCTAGACTAATAGGATTTAAGTGAGACAAAGCAGAGTAAGAGCAATTCACGTTTGTTCAGGAGCTAACAGGTACAGCTCGGAAGAATGCCTTGAGCTTTTAGTGTCCCTTCGGCAAGCAGAGCGAGGTATGTTTTGTTTATTGTTTGATTTATTTGGAAAATGTTAGATGTTTTGTAAATGTTTGTTGTTTATTTTTCTATGTTGTTTGTTTGTTTTCTCTAGTTTTACGGTGCTTTTGGTGCCATTGGTCTTTTGATGCTTCGATGTATACAACAAAGAACTGAGAAAATGACGATTTATGTGATGAACTTTATTGCATCCAAGTAAACCATTTTAAATGCACCTGTCAAAAACTCTCTGCCTATTTATTGAAAGCTGAATGGCTGCTACAGTAAAACTCGCTCTGCTTGCCGAAAGGACACTAAAAGCTCAAGGCATTCTTCCAAGCTGTACCTGTTAGCTCGTGAACAAATGTGAATTGCTCTTACTCTGCTTTGTCTCACTTAAATCCTATTAGGCAAGAGCGCCCTCCTGTGGTGACTCCAATTATGGCAAGCAAAGCGAGTGTATTAAATCATGGGCAGTTCAAATACCATGTATCAAGTACCAATTTGTTTCCAAAAGGTTTTATATCAAGGTATATAAAGACTGAGTCGCGCCAGCTCCGGGCCGCAGCACACATTACTCTCGGGCCGATTCTGGCTCTTGCTCTGGCCTGAGTGCGGCAACCGGAGTCGGGCCGAGGGGTAAGTCTCCGGCAGGCGAGAATCTGGCCCGAGTGTATTTTGCTATCTGGGTACTGTCATGCACACTAGCAGCTTATAATGTACTATACTGTGTATTTATAAAGCACATTTATTGTGTAAGGCCATACAACTAAAGTGCTTCACAATCATGAGGGGGGGTCTCTCCACACCACCACTAGTGTGCAGCATCCACTTGGATGATGTGACGGCAGCCACAGGACAACAACACCAGTGCGCTCACAACAAACCAGCAATAGATGGAGTGGAGAGATGGTGATAGAGCTAATTGGATAGGAATGATTGGGAGGCCATGATGGGTAAGGGCTAAGAGAGAGATTTTGCCCAGGACACCGGGGTTGCACCTCTACTCCTTTATTAGTAATGCCTTGATATTTTTAATGACCTCAGAGATCTAAGACCTCGGTTTAACATCTCATCTGAAAGCTTGTATTGATGTTGTACCTGTGGCTGTCCGTGCTGGAGGTTTTGGAGACTCCATGATGTCTCTATGCATAGATTTGGGCCGTGGCTTCTTCTGCTTGGCTCCAGAAGGACTGGGCTTAATGACACTGTCCATGTCCTCCATCAGTTTTAGCTGCTTCCTCCTCATATGCTCATGTTTTATGTACTCCCGTCTCGCCTTCTCGTCCTCCTTCTTCTGACGTTCCTCTTCCACTTTCATTCTGAATCAAGGATCCAGCAAATATGCACAGGTTTAATTGTGTAAGTTTAATGACACAGTAACATGGGTTTATGTTGGGCAGTGCAAGTTCTACTAACAAGAAGTGTGGATGAACAGGTTTAGCTTTTAAAATGACCTGTGGTCTGTCTGTCATCAATTACAAATGTTCAGAGAAGAATACTAATAGTTCATTAACTCCAATAATTACAATTACATTTTTGTATTATGATTTTTGGCACCAGTTTATCAGGATGGGACAATTTTGTTCTCTTTGACTCATTGGGCAGAAATGGTACTTTTTTTGCAAATGTTTTTTGTAATATTCCAGCTTAAATCAAAATTTTAGATGAAAAGATGGCTGATTACTGTAAAAAATGTTTTTTAAAACTAATTAAACTTTAAATTATATTTTCAACACCTTCATTTTGCATTTTCAACATGTATAGTCTTTAAAGGGCACCTATTTTATCCCTTTTTGAAGATTGAGGATAAGTCTTTAGTGTCTCAAAAATATGTTAGCTCAAAACACCCATCAGATTATTTATTATGCCTTTCTGAATCAGGGATATTTGAGCTGTTATGGCAGTGTAGCTGTTACTGTTGTCAGTAACTTCAATGCAAATGAGCTGGTTCTCCCCCGCTAACTGTTCTTAAGTGGTTAAACTCATGTTCAGGGGCGAGGCAGTGGCGCAGTAGGTAGTGCTGTCACCTCACAGCAAGAAGGTTGCTGGGTCGCTGATTCGAACCTCGGCTCAGTTGGCGTTTCTGTGTGGAGTTTGCATGGAGTTTCCTCCGGGTGCTCCGGTTTCCCCCACAGTCCAAAGACATGCGGTACAGGTGAATTGGGTAGGCTAAATTGTCCGTAGTGTATGAGCGTGTGTGTGAATGTGTCTGTGGATGTTTCCCAGAGATGGGTTGCTGCTGGAAGGGCATCCGCTGCGTAAAAAACTTGCAGGATAAGTTGGCGGTTCATTCCGCTGTGGCGACCCCGGATTAATAAAGGGACTAAGCCGACAAAAAAATGAAGACTCATGTTCAGTTCAGCGCTTCCCTGAAGCGCACCTGTCAATCATTCTTCATTCATTCATAATTCAAATTGCGTTAGAAAAACTTTCTAAAAGATGATCTGTTCCTGTTAGTTTAAATAATCCATGGAGAAATGCATTTAGTTTTGCATTAAATGGATTCATTTTGACCTGCAGCAAGGAGCTTGTTGCTGTTTCTAAATCATGTTGCGCTATCAGCAGATCGCATCCGCAACACTGGAGTAGAAAGGGGTAATTCCCACACAAAGTAGACCTACCTGAAACTTTAAATTAGAAAAGGCTCAATAATACATTGGACAGATCCTTAATGCACCTATTTCTTCCCCATGTGCTGCTAAGTTTTAAAAGTGTCCGCAAAAACTGAAGGGCAGTGCGCTGTGTCTCAACGATGCATGAAATGCTTCATTCACACACCAGCTGTGCCACTCCGTAAAATTATTCTTACAACAGATCTCTGTTCTCTCATCTTTCCGACTGAGTTTATTATTTTGAGGAGAATACTTTAAGTGCTGAGAATAGTTTGTAAAGCCTGAGTCATTGTGGTCAAAGTAGTTGATTAAATTAATAAAAGTGAGCCGGGCACATATGGATTGCCATTAACAGAAAATTATTTAGCCTAATATGGGCTACTCTGAAACTGTGAATATTTCAGTCATTTTATTATTTTCAATATTTTATTTACCAGACCTGTTTGTCAGTTTGTTCGCTGAAGCATATAAGCAGACCTTGTTTTGAACTTCACCTTCAATATTCTTGTTTATTTTGTAGATAACTGACCAACAAAAATACATTAAAATAACCAACAAATTAAACCAAACAAAATTTGTTTCAAAAAGATTTTTCAGGCAAAAATGATTGTTCAGACATGCTTTCAGTTTCTCTATCACACTTATGGCGAATATAGACGAGGAAATGTTTATTAAAGCTGCAGTAGGTGATTGTCATCAGAAACATTTTTAATTGTGCTGGTTGAAAGTCTCTTCACAGTCCAATAGTAATGATTAAAGTAAATGATCTAAATGTATTTATATGTATTTTTATATTCTGGGTAAGGCATAAAACTAAAAAATGTTCATCCGATTAAATAGAGTCGGGCCGACATCTCTCATAATTCCGATAAGTAACTCAAACTGTCAGTCGACAAATGCAGATTTGGGCTTTTGCGCATCTCTGTTAACGCATATCCGCCGCTAGCATGTGAATGCCTGCCGCATGTGCACGCCTAGATGAGTGACACGTGCACGCGAGACTGTCAGTTAATGGGTTGTCTGCTGTTGTGTCGCTTGTGATTTCAAGAGGCATGGCTTTGAAACACAGTCCCTCCCTGACGTCCAAAGCTAATATGCTATCCGATTAGCATTTTGGCAGATCACCTACTGCACTTTTAAGTAAAACTGCCTCAGATGGTTTGGTTTGGTTTTGTTTGGTTTGCGTCAAACCTGCAGTAAAATATCAAGCTTTGCTAAAAGGCAGGTTATTTTACCAACAATTAGGGTTAAAAGTGGTAGAAAATAGGGGTTTACAGCAAGCATCATGTTTTTAGTTAGATTGTGCCATCTGTCATGAATAGTAGGCTTAAAGGTCTGTTATTTTTACTAAAGAAGATATATTATTTGTAGGGGTGTCACGATTTCGATTTTTAATCGAAATCGATCGAAATTTATACTCAATTTCGATTATCAAATCAAAAAATAAAAAAAGTGTGTAAGCATTTTGGATTTCCAGTGAGTTATTTTGACAACGTTCGTGCTGTCGACCAAAAAAAAAACACAGTTTTGCAAGCTCTGCTATGTACGTATAACGTACGGTTCGTCCGATAGACAACACCGGCATTGCGATCTTCCGCCCGCCCCCGTTGCAAATCCGCTCGCGAAAAGTACACACTCAGGCCCTGTTTACACTGTCTTTGTTTTTAAATGGCATTTTAGAACGACAACGATTTGACATCCACAGTGGCGTGTGGCATTTCTGAGCAGCCCTCCTTCCTCTCTACCTCTGAAAATGCACATCACGTGACCAAACAGACGCACTCACAGCCATGCGCTCGAGACAGCAGGTCCAGGCAGTCAGAGGACTGCTTCAATCTTTCACTCACTTGTACTTAGTCATTTTAGCGAACACCTCAGATCCTGTTGGCTGGTTCCTGTTGGTTGTGCGTCTTTTTTACCGACGCCATTATAACGACACAGATCACTGCCTATTCACGAGTCCCGCAGAAAAAGTGATTGACAGGTGGTAATTATGTGTGTATCTTGCCTTTATTCATTTACTGTATGATTTGTTTATGGGTAAAACAAAGACCATGCAGGTCAGGTAGTTTTAACGGTAGGCTACAAATAATTAATTGGTCATTAATTAATTAATTATTCATAATCGAAAATCGAATCGAATCGTGCCTTTAGAATCGAAAATGTAACCGAATCGAGGATTTGGAGGATCGTGACACCCTTAATTATTTGAGTTTATCACCAGAACTATAGAAACTGTGAAAATAAAAAATATCTAAGAAAACGGCACAGTATCGGGATCAGATCTGTATCGGTCGATAATTAAAAATTTGGGTATCGGAATCGGATCGATTCCAAAAAAATGGTATTGGTGCATCCCTAACAGTGACAGACAAGAAGGAAGCAGATCTCCCTTGATACAGAAAGAACTTTCTCAGCGGTTATTTGATATGCAATGAGGCACACACAATGTCATTATAAAGCATGCACACACGCACGCACAGGCACGTTTAGCTTTGAACTGTCTTTTTTGACATGCGGTTGTGGTGATGAATTTTGTAACGATTTTTCTGTCTTTATTACAAACATGCACTGTTTTAAAAATGGTTTAAACTTATAAAACTCATTCTTGAGGTGCAGATGATCACAGAGAGCTGAACAGATCTTTTAATTGTGGTTGCTTTGTGCAAGGCCTGTCTTGTGGATTCAATTTGTCATTCAATTTGGAGGGCAGGGAAAACACACTTCTACATCACGTTGCGGTCAGCCTCAAAAGGATTAGGCTCCTATTTTAACATCATGAAATTAAAAAAAGAAACTTATTGTGTTCATATCATCCCAATATGACTGTGAACACACTATACTTACACACAGTTCAGTCCAAAGAGCTTACAAAAGATGATTTTTATTATAGGTGCCCTTTAAGATATTTTCTTTGGATTTGCACAACCCAGCTTATGGAGTTAATGAAGTATGTGCAATTTTAATGCGTGTCATTTATCTTTTAGATAGATTTTTAGATATTTTATATGGATTTGCACTTATTTGCTTTTTTGTTCATTGCTTCAACAAATATTTGTTCAGCTTAAGTAAAAAAGGAGCCAAGTTTCTGTAATTGACCCATCCTGACAACCACATTTGGTTGCTATGTGCATTTGACCTTTCTCTGTAGTGTTGGTGTATGTTCATACCGTGCAGCTTCTTTCTTCTGTTCTATCTCAGCCTCCTGTTGCTGTTTCTTGATCTGCATCTCCTTCTCCCTCCGCAGCCTCTTCTCCATCAGAGCTGCTTTCTTCTGTGCAATGTCCTCCTCTCCCTGCAGGTCATCCTGAGTCACAGCCACAGACAAACAATCATTCAGGCCTCATGTACAGCTGGATGCACAAAACACTCATTCACTGAACACTGTAATGCGTGTCATGAAGAAAAACAAAAATTTTTAAAACAAAGAAGGTCCATGTCATGAAAGCACGTATTTAAGATGATTTTAATTCAAATAAAACAACTCAAAAGACTAATTTAGATTGTTTGAATATGCTTTTTTGGTGCTCAAAAATTCTTTCATCTTCTGTTATCTTTTGTAATATTTGAAGTGTTTTTACTGACACCTTTTTGTTCAATTTAATGTCTCCAAGGTGAATAATTTCTCTATTTTCTGTACAAAAAAAAGTACCACAAAAATTTTTTTTTGCAGAAACCGTTTTCAACATTCATAATTACAAATGTGTCCAGGGGCAAACTTAGTGATTTGGGGGGCCTAGCATTGAAAATCAAAACGTTCTCTTTCTTTTTTTCTTTGTAGAAGCATTTTTTTGGTAATTTTATTAACTTTTAAATATATATTTAAAGCGGAAACTTTCTATTTTTAATATAAAACTGAATACTAAAAAAGAAGTGACTTTGGGAAGTTTAGCCACTTTTTTATATCCTCTTTTCTCTTTTCAGCATGGCTGGGGGTTTCATTGTTTGTCTTATTTCTATTTTTTCCCCAAATGTTCTCAAAATTCACCCTCTTGCACACTTTTATACTTTTTTTATACTTTTATACTCTACTCAGATCGCTGGCTATATTTATATAGTATATATTAGCAGCTTAATAGTAATATTTAATCAATTACTTTCCCTCAATGTCGGAACAGATCCACACACCACTGCTGGATGGCGCCACTAACTCGGTTTAGTGCTCTTGTGTCCACAAAATATATTTTTTTCCTGTAATTTAGTCTTTATTCCAACATGATAAATAAAGTTGTAGTCAGTCAACAATTCCAACAGTTTTAAGCCATTAAATCGCTTAAAGGGTCATGAAACCCCTCACTTTTGGTTCAGGTCCACCTCAGAATTTTTTCAAAAGATGCATAATAGTGGGCGTGGAGCTCCGCGAGGAAAGCGCAGGAGTGGGCGTGGCCAGCAGAGCAGGGGAAAAGGAGGAGAGCGAGCAACTGTTGTCAGTCGATTCACAAAATGAGACAAACCAAGCGGAGAGCCATGATTTTATAGTTTACAAAGTTAAAATGCAAAGAAATAAACAGCAATTTAATGCCCTGCTACATTTGTAATTTCATTTAGCTACACATAACCACAATTTATATCATTATAAAGATAATCGCGTTCCTATAAACACTAAATGAGGACTTTTCCCTCAATCCTCCTGTCTGAATGCAGACTCAGTGCAGCAGGTCTCTGCCCTCTCTATTTTAACCATTAGACCTGCTGGTAATCTGGAGGATTTAGGCGAACACAGCAGCACGGCGATGTGTCTAAATGTGAACGAACTCCTGATAAAAGTCAATGTCTGCCATTCTTCAATTCTCGTACTGCTCTCCTGACAAAAATGCTTGCAGCACACACACAACTTTGCTGTATCGGCCCTGACAGGATCACGGGGAAAAACATACAACAAACCCCGTGGATCATGGAAACAAACACATACGACCCTTCATATACAACTAAATACAGCACGCAGTGTGTCCGCGGACGCATTTAAACCCGGAAGCTGAAATTAGCTGACAAAAGCTCAAAATTATCCAGTTTCTCCCACAATTAAAGCTAACAGATGCCAACATTGTCCTAACTGATGCTCAACACACACAAATCTGTTAAAATCTCAAAAGTACTTGAGGGTTTCGTGAACCTTTAGGGCCTTAAAATATTAAGTCCAGTTAAATTGAGTAGCCTAATATAACATTTCTCCCTGAAAAAAATATCATACATCGCAGTTTAACACTTTCACTTGCCTTTAGCTTTGTCTCTGCTTTTTAATAGTTTTTTTATTAATCACGTATAAAACTGTAATTTCATTTAAACTTATGAAATTTTCAGGTATTAAACTTCAGGTGCTCGGCTGTAGCACTGAATAAATGAAGACTTGGACAAATGACTTGCAGAGGATAATAACAAATGTGTGTCCTGCGGTTTTATTTATAATAATGTACATGTGGTCGTAAAAAGTGTGGGGAAAAGTGTGCACAGCAGTGCACGCATTCAAAATGATTTCAATATCTTGCATTTTGTCAGCGCCTTCCTCATATGAGCAGATCATAGGACTATATGATGGAAGATTTATAAAAGAGCTATATGACTAATATAAGCTAATATAGGACTACTCCAGTCTTCAGTGGTTAATAAAATTATGTTAAATGTTAATACTGTTAATTAAAGCAGCAAGTTCAGCGAAAATGTCAGTAAACCCTCACTGCTTTAACATGCAATATTTGAGTCTCACCCTGTAGAAGAACCCACAGCACATCTTCTGATCTGGTTTGGATCCTAGTCCAGTCTCTGTTTCCCTGCTGCTCTCCAACTCATGTCCATCCAGAGGCTTCAGAACCGAGAGAGGAACCTCAATCAAATCCTTACTCTCCTCAGACTCTTCTTCATTTGTGTTCCCACTGGCCGTGACCTCAGATGTCAATGCTTTTGTGAGTTTGTCACTCTCTCCAGTACCTCTTTTTTCCTCTTTCTGTTTTTCACTCATCTGATCTGCAGCTGTGTCTTTGGATTCAGGTTTACATGGCTTTTCTTTATCGCTTTGCTCTTTACTTAAAGCTCTTTCATCAGATCCCAAATAGGCGAATGAACTGATTTGCGGCTGACTTGGTAAGACACGTCTAAGTCGAGGAAGGCTGTCCACTGACTGCGGCGTGTTAAGCATGCGGCTGAAGGAAGTGACCTTAAGGTCGTTGGGTCTTGGCGTTCGTGGTGTCCTTGCATGAAAAGATGCTGATTTCCTTTTGATTGTAGAAGGTGAGCGGTGTGTAGTGCGCGGAGAGCCGGTGGATGATAAAATAGGAGAGAGAGATCCCACCGAACCTCGGCCAACTACACTGCTACTGCGCAGTTCACGAAATTGTTTCCGCGGTGAAGGATCTGGTGGTGAAATCACCCAACTCTGGTGTTCACGCATCTGCATGATTCGCTCCTGCTGTTGTGCCAACCGCTGCATCTCCGACTGCAGGAAGCCCAGAGACGTGTTCAAGCGTTCGATTGACCGAGTGTACTCTGTCAGGTCCACCTCTACTCCTGCATCCTCCAGAGGAGATTTTGGTGGAGCGCCATCTGGTCGGCATCTCTCAAGCCTAGCATTGGAATCGTTTAAAGTTAAGGGTGACTTTTGGGGTTCTGGATCATTGGTTGTCTTTTCTCGACCATCCGGGCCTTCACTGCTGCCCCCAAGTGGCGAAACGACTCCTTTACGTCTGACCACATTGAGGAAGGCGGTTCTGCCCATTCGCTGACGGTGACGCGTAAAAGCAGCTTCCACTTTCTTTTTTTGGGCCTCGATGGCTCTGCGTTTCTCCTCCAGCTTCATCTTTAACTGCACCATTTCGGATGCCAGAAGGTGTGAAGGATCACGAGGGGATGTGATTCGAGCAGGACTATGTGTGTCAGGAGTAACTGACCGAACTGTCCCGTATGCTCCTGGAGTTGTGGCGTTCAGTTCAGCAGTTTCAGGTGTGTTTCCACCACTGCCACTGCTGCGGCCATCGCCGTGGTTTAGTTTGCGAAACTTCTGTTCGGCAAAGCTGGTCATGCGTATCGCTGAGCCCAATGAGGAGGCCATGCTGGTTGCCAAAGATCTTGTTCCTAAAAGACTTGGGCACGGACTGCCGGACGTGTCTGGAAGTGGACAGGAACGAGCCTCATAGTCTTGGTCCATGTCTGAGTAGTCCTTCAAGGACGAATCCTCATCCTGTCCATCCTGAATGTCCTCTGTACGTACGTGGATTCCAGTGTCCATGTCAGTAGACGTGGAATTCAGGTCAGCATCATCTGCTCTGGCCTTGTTAAGTGAGTCCTCTGGTTCATTGGGGTCAGAGGCAGAGTTAGAGGAAGATGGGTTGTGCAAGAAAAAGGCGCTGTCCCCAGATGGTGGCGGCAAGCTGCTCTGGGGTCGCTCAGAGTCATGGATGATCTTCAGGGCTTCTTCTATACTAGGAGTGCTGGGCTGAGCATCATACGGAGGACTTGGGTTACCTGTCGATACACCGTTTGTATACCTGAAACATGGGAAATTCATTCATTGTAGTGAATTCAGTTTAGCAAAATAACAATAATGTTACAAATGTGGCAGATCAGACACATAATTACTTTGCTTTTTCAACAAATAATACACCATCAGCCTCTACTACTAACAAAAGACTGGATGGTCAGTGTGTAATATGTTTCCAAGGTGCTTACGACATGAAAGACTGCCTGCTTTAAATGGACACAATGACATGGTCAAGCTTCTTTACAACTTGCTTAAGGCTTAAATAATGCTTTTAAAGCTTTTAATGTAAACCTCTACTCCCTTTTTGTGTGTAATTAGGTGTTTTGCAACAAGTCTCTTGCTCATGTATTAAAATTATGTTTTAATCCTCCTGCAATCAATGTTTTAACGTTACCACAGCTAAACAAGATTGTACATAGTTCATGTTTGATGTCCCTGGAGAGCTAATAGGGTGTACTGAACGATCGTTGACTTATGTTAATACGCATGCAACATATTAACATTTTAAGAAACTTTAAACATTTCTGAATCAACATTCACACAGAATGCATATGCAAATCACCAAGCTTTTCAACAAAGGCCCATACAACTATAACTTCCTTATTGCTAAACTCAGCTCCTGAAGGAGTTACAGTCCACCCTTATAAAAGCTGGTGACTAAGGCTGTGCCTCAGAGAACTCCAGAAGAAAAAGAATGAGAACCGACACAGACCCCAAATGAGAGACTTGTTCCGTTTAAGCTCAGGACAGTTTCTCTTAGGGTCCAGTGAAGAGACTTGAACCCTGGGGAAATGGGTTAACCACATAGATCAGACATTCTCATCTCTGATACCTTTCTTTCCTTTCCGTTGAGAGTCTAGTTAAATATAGTGTGCGGCGAACCCAGAAGTCAACACGACTAGTCCTTTTGCCGCCTCAAAAACTTGAAAAGACAGACTACACCCCACTCCAAGCCTGACAGGAAAAAGAGCTGAACACCATCTAACTACAGTACGTGGGGAACTAAGCTCAACAGAGGGAGTTCTTCACATCACACAAAAAACGCAAGTACACCCTGAACTGGTGTAAACTATATGTAACCCTAAAGAAACCATAGAAGTGTTAAATTGATTATTTGTGGTTCGCTTGGTTTCGTCTTACAAAATCCAAGCTTTTTCCATCATTACACTCTCACAAATTCTTCCTTTACTCTTCTCTTCAACATGTATGAATGTGTGTTTGTGTTAGGTGTTAGTTTCTGTAAGATTAGTCAATAAAGATTCATTGTGTATAAAGAAAGGTGCCTTTGCATATTTATGAATCCAATGCTTTAAACTGCGATCTTGTTACCCTGCTTAAACAAAATTGGGCTTTATTTTTAATAGCAATAGTCGTAGTTGAAGTCAACTGTCCGTTCGAAAGATCACTGGATCATTAATTTGTCTACATTTAAAGAGTCGTAGTTTTAAAGCCCAGTTCAAATTAATCTTAAATTCACTTTGAGCTAATTCGCTACATAAAGAGTCTCAAAAACAATCTGAAAAGCTAATATGCTGTGCAAATTAGAGCTACGAATTAAAGAGTATTATCAGTGAAGCAAACTGGAATTTCCAGTTTACATGGATTGTTGGATTGCCAACAGACTGGACAAAATGTTGACAATATCCAAAATTAGAGAAATTCTTAAAAGCTGTAAGGTTCATGTAGTGATGTCCGATGTCAGTTTTGGATGTATTTAGTACATGAATGACTTTGTTTACATGTTTGATGCAATATAGTTGTTACATATATGTTTAAATTAAATTTGCACCAGGTAGCTAAAGTAACACAGTTATATAGCAACTACCTGTCATCCTCAGTTTCCGTAAAACCAATTTCCCCTTGGATAATTTTTCTGATTAATTTATATCTTTCACTATCATGTTGTTATCATCATTTTGACAGTTGGTGTCAATTCACCTTTCACACCCACTTTCAGTGTAATGTTGTGTAAAAGCTCTCTCTGTCAATTTTATCCTATCTTTTTCTCACTTTCCTAATAGTTTCCATTTTACCTTAAGATTACTTTAACTTATTTAACAAAGAACCAAGCGGAAATCACACATCCTTACTCACTATGAAATATCTAAGGGCATACTCACACTATGCTATCTGAACCGTGCCCAGCCGCATTTCCTGGTTCGTTTCACAAGTGTGAGTACTTTGAATCTGGCTCAGGCGCGGTTCATTTGGCCGGCTCTGGCCCGGTTGGAAGAGGTGTGCCAGAGTGCGGTTCGGTTGTAGTGTAAGTGTAAAGCGTGCCTGAGCCCGAAACTAAAGATGCGACGTCACTTTTAAGGGACTGTTTCATATGGATTTATTAATCATTCTTACTTTTTAATGAACACGAACTGTTTAGAAAACCACGCTTCGGCACGGTTCAAGGCAACTGTGCCTAGTGTTAGTACACCCTAAGAAAACATCAGAAGCTAAATTGTACAAGTGGAAAAAAAATATGCAGACTATATTTCTAAATATATTGAGCGATATTTTGACTATTTTTTATGAAAATATGAGCGATGGTTGTTAAAACAAACAATGTTTCCCAAAACCACAAGGGGTAAATCACACTAAATGTTCAATTTTGAGTAAACTGCAGGTCAAAATTTGACAAAAAGTCACAAAAGACGTACCCAGTGTAGGTCCCCAGACGATGCCTGCTGATCGGTCTGTTGGAGTCTTCGCCATCCTCCTCGTGTATTTTGCTGTGAGCATTTCCATTAACCGGCTGGAATGAAAGGTTTCTCCGCATACCTCTGGCCGCATGGTGAACTTTAAAACCCAAACCTTCTGTGCTTACTGACCGGCTCAGTCCACGTCCTGAAGATGAACTCGTCCTATCATCAAGAGGAATCTCAAACGATATTCCATGAGCTGAAGACCTGAGATGAGGAAAAACAAACATTTATATATCTGAAGCATATACAGAGAGTAAGTGATAGAAATTTAGTAGTAGGTACACACCGTTTCTCTTTAGGCCATGTCCCTACACATCCATCCACATATGACATGGAGGACGACCGCCTGATAACTGCTGAAAGAGAAAGAAATAAGCATTAACTTTACCAAAATATCAATTAAATGTTTACAACAAAATTGTATTAAATGTATTCAAGTGTTGCTGTAAATAAGGGCTATTCAAATTCTATAACTGTTGCGTCCGTTTTAAAACATAACATATGAATGTGTCTGAATGTAGAAGAAGCCTACTTGAGCTTTATACTGATTTTGTTGCGCTTTGAAATGCAACATTTGAATATGTTTGTAAAAAAAAAAAAGCCACATTGTACAATACAGTGATGTTATGTAGTTTCAAAATACAACATATTAACATTTTATTGTAGAAAAAGCCAATGTGGGTGTCTTCAGGAGCAAAAATACCACATATGGGCTCTTATATGCTGTTGTGTCATCACTTATATTGCAAGTCATATCTCTCTGGCCCTTCATTTGGGATGCTTTTCATGAACTGGCCCCCATGATAAACTAATTAAATAGCCCTGCTGTAAATAAAACCAACTACTAGAGTCATGCTTTAGCAGTTGAGCTACAAGATACACACAAAAATCAACAAAGAGGCCTGCTTGAAAGATAAAATAATGTCTCAAATAATGATTTTCAGAAGTCTTACCTGAGCTATCATTGTTAGGTTGCGACCTAAGAGAGAAAAGAAACTTGAATATAAAACCAGATTTAAAACTCACAATCATTTTCTTTCTGCAAAGCTTACATTAAAGACAAACCTAGATTGCTCAGGACTGCCTGGTCTGTGGATTAGGTTCTGTTTGGTTATGGGAGCCATTTTACTGGACTGGGATGAGTCAGAAGCTATAAAAGAAAAAGAAAAGATATAAACAAACTATAGGTCAATAAATTGCATGACGTACATAAACATGTCACAATATCTATTTTTTGTTGCATGATATATTGCGCCAAAATACAGTATATCGCAATTAACAATATTATTGTCATTTTAAGGCCATTTTATGCCACTCATTATATACGTAATGCCAGAATGACAATACAATATCACCCTGATGCAAGTACACTCTTACAAAAAAAACACATAATATTTTATTCTTAAGAATTTAGCATTTTAACAATTGAATAATTAGGCGTTGGAATCAGAATGTGAAAATGCATTCTAAATAACCAATATTAAATATTAACTAAAAAAGTGCAAGGAAAAAAGTAACACCGGCACCGCCAATAGATAGAGATGTTGCTAGAATTAGTGCGATATATATTGCATCACCAAAAATGATTAGGGTCATGTCCATGTGTTGTGCAATAAGTCGATATATTGATTAATGTGACAGGCCTACTGTACATGTACAGTAAGCATGAAGTCACCCAATGTGAGTGACATTACCTTTGGTATTAACAGTGCGGGGCTGAACAAAAGACGGTTTTACAACTTCACACCACCAGAACAGCTCTGCCATAAACACAAGGTAGTTGCTCTGAAAACACACACATTAAAATAAGTAATTAGATAATTATACAGAACCATACAAACCATACAGAGAAGATCAAGCAGATTCTTATAGAGTTCCCAGTCTTTCATAAACAGCCAATTCAAGGACTTTCAAGGACTTTTTAAAGCACTGTTAAATTCAAATCAAGCACCATTGTAATTCACACCTCCAGCAAATGTAGCACCATGAAAGTACTTAACAATTCACTCACACTTACCATTTACATCATGTGTCATTTTCAAAAAAAATAAGACCATTTTAAACCATCATGTTCACAGAAACTCAAAACTGTCAGATTCAAATGCTGTTCCTTAAAAATATTTATAAAACTTGCATTATTTGTCACAGTTCTTGCAGAAAGTTTTAAAGTACTTTCAAGGAGCATGGGAACCCTGCTCTTAAATCAAGACATTTTTACACAATCTCTTATTTAAAAAAAATAAATAAATAAGTAAAATGTGGGTGATTTTCTGCTCTTGTAATGCTGCTCTGCAACCGCAAGGTGTCAGTGTTCTATTATAGCCTGTAACAGAGTCCTGAATATTATTTAATACAGCAATGTTGCACACTACACACTGTACATGTAATTTATACTGCATAATGGAATAGTTGCCCTCAAACTTTAAATTCTGTCATCATTTACCCATCCTTGTTCATAACCTTCATGAATTAATTTTTTTCTGCACAAAACACATACACACAAAAAAAGATATTTGTTAGAATATAATGGCAGCTGGCACCTATTGACTTTCATAGTAGGGAAAAAAAATACTACGGAAGTCAGTGGGTACCAGCTACTATACAAACAGCATGTTCTTTTGTGTTCAGCAGAAACGCATAAAGCTTTGAAACTACACAAGGGGGAGTTAATAGTGAGCTCAATTTAATTTTTTTGGGTGAACTATCCCTTTAAGTAATAGTAAGGAGGGCCATGTGATCTAAATAGGGCAGCAGTGAAGCCTAGATTATGATCACCATATAGGGGCCACAACATGAAAAGTCACGTTCTGTTGTGACAAGCATATGTTTACTACTGAAATTGAAAATACTATTGGAATTCTGTAATGACAGAGCAAAATAAGCGTTTACTCTAATACAGAGCGGTTATTGAAAGCAACAGTGCAGCAGCCATGAAAAGAGTCTCTTACAGTACATTAGAGGGTGTTCTGACCCAAAAAAGATAAACAAAGCAACTGGGACAGCCTGACACGAACAGAACAGACCAAGCACTCTCTGCTCAGTTATTCAGTCCTGACACCTTTATTCCGCCATAGTTAAGGGCTTGTTAGTCTCTGAAAAAGAACTAATTTAGAGCAATCACAACATTTAAAGCCTGACTGACCGAAGAACTCTGTATTAGCTTTGTGTTATGCTGAGAACATGTGACTGGTTGAAAGTTTTAAACACGGTTTACATAACAGACCACAAATTCATGAATCCCAGTTTGGAAAAATGTAACACAATTCTTAAAAAAGTATGTTTTGAAGTGTGAGGTAACGGCTGCGCATGGACTGTATTTATCTTGACTAACTGCTTGGCCAATGTAACTGTCTGAGGCGATCCACTTGGCAGAGCTTAAACACATGCACACGCACACAAACCATGACTCAGTCTATCCAAACGGTCAGATTTAAAACATGCACTGCTCGTCTTTTCCTTCCTGCATCAGCCTTGCTGAAGTTCCCTCTAATTCTCCAGTAATCACTCATTCATATTAGAAAAAAGTGAAAGAAAAAAAGGGAAAAGTAGTGGAAAATTACCAGAGAAAGGGCCCAGAGTCTGTATCCTGGAAACCATGTAAGATTGCAACAATAAACAAAATGAGAAACACATCCTACTCAATGTGTTGAAATGTCTGAGAACTAGTTAGTGAGCTTTGAAAATTCTGCTTCTATCTATCTATCTATCTATCTATCTATCTATCTATCTATCTATCTATCTATCTATCTATCTATCTATCTATCTATCTATCTATCTATCTATCTATCTATCTATCTATCTATCTATCTATCTATCTGTCTATCTGTCTGTCTGTCTGTCTGTCTATATGATCAGAACTCCAGGGGGGTATTAATAACTTCAGGCTTGACTTTATATTATAAGGTAACAAGCAGTTGGACAGGTGTACCTAATAAAGTGGCTGGTGAGTTTATACCGTATGTATTTAGGATTTTAGGCATGTGGACATGGTCAAGATAATCTGCTGCAGTTAAAAAATGAGCATCAGAATGGGAAAGAAAGGTAATTTAAGTGACTTTGAACACGGCATGTTTGTTGGGCCTCCACAGTCACCAGATCCCAATCCAATAGAGCACCTTTAGCATGTGGTGGAACGAGAGATTGGCATCATGAATGTTCAGCTGACAAGTCTGCAGCAACTGTGTGATGCTATCATATCAATATGGACCAAAATCTCTGAGGAATATTTCTAGTATCTTGTTGAATCTATTCCATGGGTCCAACCCGGAACTAGTAAGGTATAACTAATAAAGTGGCCGGTGAGTGTGTGTGTGTGTGCGTGCGTTTATATGTATATATAAAACTATTTTTAAAACACATTCAGTTACTCACAGTATTAAACTTCTGCTATAGTTTTGATCAAATACTTGCATCAAATAAATATAGCACTGGTAAGATACTTAAAAAAATAAAAAAAATAAATAAATAAATAAATATATATATATATATATATATATATATATATATATATATATATATATATGTGTGTGTGTGTGTGTGTGTGTGTGTGTGTGTGTGTGTGTGTGTGTGTGTGTGTGCTTGTGTGTGTGTGTGTGTATGTGTGTGTGTAATGTTGTGTAATAGCTCTACACTTTCCTAATAGTTTCCATTTTAACTCAAGATTACTTAAGTAGATCATCTAATTTATTTAACACAGGACCTAACTGAAATAACATGCACCCTTACATCCTATAAAACATCTAAGAAAACATCAGCAAGTAAATCGTACCGGAGGAAATAAATTCCATTTGTTTATCAACTAAAATTTCTTTGCTTTCAGAAATAAAATCAGCACATTAAATATCTTATGATTTTTAAAGAAAATGTCATGCATCACTCGCTATAATGACTGTATTGCAAAGGACTACACAGATCTCCTCTATAAGCCATATAACTAGATTCCTGCAAATTGTGCACATCCTACTTATCCTACCATTGATTTAATATATCCTTTAAGCTTGAGGTTACAGTAAATATGTGCAAACACAATGATTAATTGCTAAATAAGAAAAACAAAAGCATGAAACATGAAAAATAGTCACAGCATCATAAAAAACATCTCAAGATAATTTATACAGTTGATGTCAGAATTATTAGCCCTCCTCATTTATTAGCCCCCCTGTATATTTTTCCCCAATTTCTGTTTAACGGAAAGAGATTCTTTTCAACACATTTGTAAACATAACAGTTTTAAAACCTCATTTCTAATAACTGATTTATTTTATCTTTGTCATGGTGACAGTAAATAATATTTTGCTAGATGTTTTTCGAGATACTTCTATACAGCTTAAAGTGACATTTAAAGGCTTAACTAAATTAACTAGGCAGGTTAGGGTAATTAGGCAAGTTATTTTTTGTTTGTTCTGTAGACAATCAGAAAAATATATTGCTTAAGGGGTGAATGATATTGACTTTTAATTATATATATATATATATTTTTTTTATTAAAAACAGTTTTTTTTCCTAGTGGAAATAAAACAAATAAGACTTTCTCCAGGAGAAAAAAATACATATTATGGGAAATGCTGTGAAAAATTCCTCATTTCATCATTTGGAAAATATTTGTAATTCACATAAGAGCTCATATTTTTGACTTCAACTGTATTTTGTTTAAATTTAAACCCATCAATCCTTCTTTCAGTAAAAACGAGCAAGCATGTGTATGTCAGGTTTACCTTGATGGTGCTGGAGGCGTAGAGCATGTCCTCCAGGGTGAAGTGACAGCAGTTGTTGAGGTTTTCTCTGCAGAACTCCTGGATCAGCTGGAGATTGTACAGGCTGTCAGCCAATGACATCGTTTCTTTGACGCAGACATCTGGACAGGGAGGAAACAAACATATGACAGCCAATGATGTTATGAACTGATCTAAGGGGGCGGAGTCAGAGCACAAGCAGAAGCCAATGGAGTGTGTAAAGGGGGCGGAAACAAAACGTGTGATGTAATTTGTGCAGAATTCTAAAAAAGTCACGGGGTGGGGATGTGTTTATGTTTGAATAACTGCTCCTCTGTTCTCTCTCAAACTTACATTCACGCACTCCTACTCGCTCCGTCTGTTGTATTCACTCATTTCTTCTTCCTCCCTTATATACAGATGTTTATTTAAAGAAACTATGGACTTTATTGAGCAAGGAGAAAGTTTATCGAGTTAAAAAAACTGTTAAAATGTTATGAAATTTTGGCCCCACTTTCATTAGGTAATGTTAATGTTAATTATTTACTAAAATGACCTAAGTATGAACAATACTTGTATAGCATTTATTAATAATAGTTCAACATTGACTAATGCATTATTAAAATACTCAGTCATGCTTGTTAACATTAGCTAATGCTTGGTGTGTTAAGGTGAACTTACAATAAACAGTATTTTCATTAACATTAACATGTGACACCACAAGGTTATATTAGTTAATGCTTTTACTAACATGAACAAACAACAAACAATACATTTACCACAGCATTTGTTCATGTTAGTTAATGAAAATACTGTTGTTCATTGTTAGCTCACGTTCACTCATGGTACATTAACTAATGTTATTAAGCATGATTTTGGGTGTCAATAATGCATTAGTAAATGTTGATAAATGATTAACAAATGCTTTACAAGTATTGTTCATAATTAGTTCATACTAATGAAACCTTATTGTAAGGTTTGACACATTAACAAGCATAAATAAATACTGTATTAAATGTATTGTTCATGCTAGTAAATGAATTACCTAACATTAAATAATAGAATCAATGTTACCACAGTATCTTAAATAAATGTCATTTTAGAGTGGTTTTCTATTACAAAAATAAATCAATAAAATTATGTTTTATAAAGAATCATGAAAATATGTTGAAACTTTGATAATAATGAGAAATGTTTCTTAGTTTAGTGCATTATAACGATTTCTGAAGGATCATGTGACAACGAAGACTGAAGTAAAAAAAAGTATGGAATCAATCTAGGGCCATGTATACTTGCAAAATAAAAAAAAAACGTTTTGCAAACAAAAAATAAAGTATTGAGCAAAGAATAAATGCAAATCTCCAAAAATCGCATAGCAAAAATAATTTCTGAGAGATAAAAAAACAAAACAAAAAAAAATTGAAAAACAAAAATAAAGAACTGCAAAGAGAAAAGTGAGACTTTACAAGGGGCGGAGTCAAGGGAACTTGAGCGTTTACCTGGACCTGCCTCCATTTAAGTGAAGTCATCACCTGGAGTATCACTGCAGTGGTCCTACAGCCCAGTAAGTCAGGGCCTGCCACAAATTTTTGTTTTCATTTCTCAAAGCTTAATTTTCCCTTTGCTGTTCTTTATTTTTGTCAGCAAAAATTATTTTTATTTCTCAAATATTAATTATTGCTTTGTGATTTTTTTAAGATTAGCATTTTCTTTTTTGGCTCAATACTTTTTTTTTGTTCACAAAACTTATTTTGCAAGTACATATGGCCCTAGGTTTACAGTAATAGATAATATTTTAAAATACAATTTAAAACTTAAAATCATAATAATATTTAGCTACAGGCTTTGTGAGTAGGGCTACACAATTTATCGCTTTAGCATCGATATCGCAATGTGTGTGTTCGCAATAGACACATTGCAGGATACGCAATTCTGAGTTGGGATTAAAAGTTGTGGAGTCATTGCCAACAATAACCATATAGCAGAGTGAAACTTTATCCATTTGATTGTGTTTTAAAGGCATTTCAAGAGAGTTTAAAGCATTCGGGCACAAAAAAGTACATTTGTAACATTCTTGTACAAATTTTTTTTTTTTGTAAAAATTATTTTACTGATTTATTACCATTAAGACTATACACTATCATTTTACACTTAATTATCAACTTCTGTACCTAAATACTGTTTGACGCTATGGAAAATCCATAAAGCGCTGTTCATTTCACTTTTTTGTTGCTCTGTTATAATAATATTTGCTTGCAATTTGTTTATTATTTTGTATACATGACTCACATTCTTAAAAAAAAAAAAAAAAAAACGCCCCAATCAATATTAATGAATGATTTCTTTCCAAATAGAGCTATTTATGCCATCATGAAATTGACAGCGTGGAATTGTGTTCATATCGCAATATATGAAAGAAACAAAATGGATTTAAATATTATGCTGCCCTAATTGTGAGCACAATAAACATCTTTCAAAACTATAACAAACACCAATCCTTTGAATAGTAGTACAATAACAACAGCAATCTGTCAAATTAATCTTTCCCTCTCATTCTCATAGTCTTTAAATAAAATGTCATCAAAAGGTCCCAATAGTACAAATAATTACCTTTAAATAACGTTTAAGGTTTAAAAAGCCCTGCTGTTTTACACTAATTCAAGTTTAAAGAGAAACAGAGGCTCTGTGTCCTTCAGATGACTCTAAATATCTGAATGCTGTTGTTGTGCTGTCATGAGGAACTTTAAAGTGAGTTTAGTGGGTAATGTAGTTTTCTTGATACTGTTTGTGCTGTATGTCTGTTATCTACAAGGCCAGATCAGGGGCAGAGTTTTTGTTGAGGGTTTATCTGTGTACAGGCCTCTGCTGAATGGCTGTACTACAGTATCTTAACTACAACTCGCATAGAGACATAAAATAAAGACAGTAAGAACACTCTCCTTCTGACTGAAATAAAATGCAGTTTCTAGGTCAATTCCACGATCACTACTGACAGCAGTAAGAACACATGTTATGACAAAATAATAATAAATAAAAGTGCTCACACTGATTTTCATGAGGAAAATATGGACAGAAGTGTCTTTGGAATGCAGTCACAGAGTTGATATTATCCTCATAATGTGTCACAGGACTGTATGAAGTGGAATGTGTCACAAAATGCGATACATTTTTGAATAAGTAATTCAATTGTACTGTGCATCAATGACATTAGCGATGCGAACTAGTTTCTGTGAATATTGAACCACAAAAAAACTACAGTATTTAAATATAACTTCTGCATGTTCTGTATGTCTGTGTTTGTTTTCGGTTTCTGATGTCTCACTACTGTATATGAGACCATGAACACATGAACTTTATCTTGAGAGCTACTTTGAGAGTTACTTCATGAGCATTTTACTGCTATATGCAATAAAAACCTATCATCATATGATATACACAAGGTATTCATGCCAACTTGTCAAAATAAAATGTTTAATCTTAATTTTTAGTGTAATTTAAGGACAAAAAGTTTTTTTTATTGCAAAGCAAATAGTGTTTCTACATAGAGTAAGTTTCATATATTCAATTAAAATGTATTTTAACCAATAACATAGTAAAACCATCTAACATTAAGCAATTAAACATTTAAAATAAATATGCTTTACATAGTAAAAAACAAACAACAATTATTAATAAATTAACAAACAACATCAGAATGTAGTTTAATACTTAAAACATACTTGCAATAATTTACTTTTGGATTTTTTTTCTAGTTTAATCTACATTAATCTACTGTTAGATTGTGAAAAATGACATGAAAAAAAAAAATAAGTAAAAAACATGAACATATGATAATGTATTTCTGTTGTACAATAAAGAGTAGACAGATGACAGAAAGGATGCTTTCACTGTATTTGAAAAGCAGCTTGAATATTCTTTAAAATTTGATGTTCCATGGCAAGAAAGTCAGAAAGTGGATAAAAATTATTAAAAAAAAAACTTCAATTTGGGCAAGTACAAATTTAAAAGTTGCTGTACAGTATGTAAGTTTTTGACTTTTCTAAAGCATAAAAATACAGATATTTAAGAAACATGCCAAGTGAACATTCTTGTTTATCTGTAAAACAATGCTGTAGTCAGATATTGTGCTTTGAAAATGTACATTCCATGCTTTAACGCTGTCTCTGTTTTGGGTCTTTTAACCCGCCCATTGCCAGTTTAGCCAGTTATATTTCAGCACCCTGGGTTGCCTTGCTGGAAAACCACAAATTTTTATTCATTCAGTCATGGAGGCTCTTAAAGCATGCATCCGTGATCGAAATTGTGGTGGACAGTAGCAGACTCTAAAATGAGACGCAGATTCAGAGTTCAACATGAGGTTATTAACTAGCAAATAATATAAATATTACGAACATAAACATTAGGTGAGCAGGTTACATTATAACCCTTTGTTATAACAACTAAGTAATAAAATTTGAAGTGATAAGCAATTTGGCTGTTTGCACCAAACAATTTAAATGCAGCCATTAAGAAGCAAGTGGTAAGGTTTATATTCTAATTAACATATATTAAACCTCTTTAACATTATTAAATGTAGATCATGAATGACTGATATGTGTTGGTTTTGAGTCGCAGCTCTAAAGTTCAATTTCAAATTCTTTATTTTATTTTCAAGAACTGTGGTGAACTCTCTGCTGCTGCTTTCAGTAGTCTGGCAATAAATGTCATGTAAAATGGCATTCAAACTCTCATTATTAGCATTGAACACTGAATAAAGCAGATGAGGTCTCCCTGAGGTGATCATTGTTAGTTGTCTGTTGTTCAGCTGGAAAAAATAGAAGCCGTTTCTAAAGTATAAATTTCAGGTGTTTGTTGGGATAAAAACTCCTGTTATTATTAAAAATATTCCTTCTATCACGTGCTGTTGCTTTTATTTAGAACACGACTTAAATCAGCCTTTAGGTCAGTCAGGCACACTGCTGCTGGTGTCATCAATCTGGCAACCTGCACTTGCATGTGTTTTGAACCAGGGGTGCAATACCTAATTCAACCACAAGGTGTCAAACTTACATACTGCACCTTTACGTAAAAGTTTACAATAAAACTAAACGTTAAGTGTCCTAGAGCTTGGCAATTTCTAACCAGTCACCACTGTATATCAAGACCTAATACCACTCTTCAAATAAAAATCTAACGCAGTCTCTTTGAATGTTAATATACGTCACATTACACAGAAGTGTTTCCTCAGCAGTACCTTCCAGTGGCACAGCATCAGGACAGTAAAAGTGCAGCAGCAGAGCCAGAGCACAGCCGTCTGTGTTGTCCTTCAAAAGACTGTCCACTAGGGGGACACAAAGTGCTGGATGAGCTTTAGATTCGTCCCTTCTGTAACGCCCCTGTGGATTACACACACAGAACAGTTGATCTGACAGAAGGAAAATAAAATATATGTTCACAAAACTCAAAATAATAGTAATGACTAGAAATAGTCAAGTCAAACTTTATAGGGCACTTTAAAAAACACAGAAGTGAGTCAAGGTGCTATACAGAAATATACAACAAAATAAGCATAATAATATATAAAATACAGAAAATACAGAAACAACTATCTAATTGTGACTTAATCTGATGACTTATTAATATTTGTGCAATAACTCCACAACAAATGTCTAATAATTATAAAATATTAATGATGAAGAAGATGACAATAATACTAAAAATAAATTACATTTCTCATTATCATGCTGCCTTAAATGTGCGTTATCTGACTATAACTTTATGAAAAATAAATTTATGGTTTGCATCAAACAAAAATGAAGCATTGCAGTAAGAAATGTTTATTTTGCACTATTGTTTTTATATGCATGTCAATTTAATAAATATTTTAGCTACAAAACAAACGAAAGATTATAATCAATCATTTAATTCAAGGCTGAAAGCTGCAAAGCAGTCATCAGTAATTAAATAGAAAAATAATATACTCCTCAAGAAAGAATAGAAACAAGAAAGGAAAAAAAGTCTCACTTCTGCCACTCTAAAGGTTTTGGTTTGGGTTTGTGTCATTTTAAATGCTCAGTCTCGTTATGTGCTCATTTACAGTTTTCTGTGTTTGTGGGAGAAAAGCAGGCGAGTCAGCCGACCGGGGCAGAGCAGAATTTTCACGATGACCACCGGCACAATACTGCTCTTTGTTATGAGCCGCAGATTCAGTTTAAACTTCGTAAAGGCGAGCTTCTTTGGCAATGATGCAGACATCTCAAGTCTCCCGGAAGTGCAGGAGTATCCCGCAAATGCATAGAGACTCCCGGATGCCTGCAAATTAATAATAATCTCCCGGAAATCGCGCGTCTCCCGCCCGGTCCTTAAATAAGTAACACACACCTCTCTCAACCGCACCCCTCCCAGCTCTTCAGGTACGTCGCGCGGAACTCACCCCCACCGCTCTTCAGACACATCGCGCGCAACTCACCCCCACCGCTTTTTAGACACGTCACGCGCAACTCACCCCCAACGCCCTTCAGATACGTTGCTCGCATATAGCGGCAATACAATCGTCTTTGTGCAGACGTGGCTATAAGCCTCGTGGCTATTGCCAACTACAGGCCTAGGCCAGTCTTTATATCTTGCATCCTCCAGCCTGAGGTCCAAAAACTTGCATTTCCCCATGTTTTAATTTAATTAATGAATCAAAGGCGAGCTCACCTATATGGTTGGCAGCAAGCCAGCCGGGTACACACCGGTTTGTTTCAGCGCGCGTGCGCACGCAAACTCCACCTCACATGACAGTGCTCAGGTCCTACTCTTAACATATAAATAAATCCACGCAAAATTTAGAATAAAGGCCTGCACTTGACACAAATTGAAAATTTATCTAAAAACTGGGCTTAAAAATGTAATACCTTGTCAGATGACGTTTATTACCTTTTAATATTTTTTAATGGCCTTAATTTTGGCTGATTTCATTTACTACCTTTTACAACCCCGCGGACACCCTGAGAGCAGATAGGCTAGTGAAGCCTTTTTGCAGACCAGTGCTGTTGTGTTGGCATTTCAGTTACTGCAAACTGAGGAATCTCCCCATGCTGCATCATTGGTAAAACAATTATTACGAATGTGTTAAATGTGTGTTCGTAGTTGTGTAAAAAAATGTGTTTTCGATATCTAAAGTTATTTGTTTTGTAAAGCAGCGTGGCTTTTGATTAATTTGTTAGTTTAGGTTTAGGCTAATTTATCTGGATGTGATTCAAATGTCGCGAGACACAGAACATAGATTCAAGCAACTTTGCCTTGCTTGAAGCTTGGAGCTAGAATATAGCCTAATTAAAGTTAGTCTCTGTGTGCGGTTAACTCAAACTCAATAGTGCATGTATGAATTGGTCAAGCAGTGTACTTATGCAAGTAAACACTAATCATTCTGACACCTGTACCGTAAAGAACGAGCAGTAAGCAGATATAATTTCTAATTTAAATATGTAATTCCAAATCATTTATTTTAAAATACAACTTAATGTTTGGATTTCAAAGATATAAAAATCTATCATGTAACATATTTTAAAATTTATCAAAAATGGTTTATATATAAATATAATTACATATAACCGATATTTATGGCGCAAGCAACATTTCCAGGTTTTGATGAATAGGTTACTATTGGTTAATACTTTATATTTAAATACAGCAGTTTTTTCACTTTAAGAACAGTAGCCTACCATTTTATGTGCCTACCAGCACATTTTAAACGTTGACTTTTTATTTATTTATTTATTTATTTATTTTTATTTACCTATAAGCACAGTACAGTTCACACAGTACAGTTCATGTTCAAACTATTTATAATGTTTTAGTGGCTGACAATAATAAATATTCTTAACAATAGGAATTAATCTGACTCATCAATATGGTGGTTCTTGGAGATGCCATTTTTTGTGGTGGTACTTGATGAAAAAAGTTTGACAACCACTGTGTTAAGGTATTGTCCCTGTGTTAATATGTAGACATCTAGTGGTGTAATCTGATTTAAAAAACAAAATAATAAAAATTGTACAAACAAGGGCATGTATTGACAATGATTAAGCCTGAAGGTAGGGCGTGAACAGTGTGCAGGTATTTATTCAGAACACTGATTTATAGACTGGCAACCTGAGAGAAAACAGCACAGAGTTTCACAACCAAGAACAGCAAAACTGTGAGTAATAAGTAATCTCCAACTTTTCTAATTGCTTAGCTTATAGATATTTAACAACAAAATGTATATTTAACTACAAAATGAAACATATGTCCATGTCAGGTTCTTTTTTTAAACGTTGTAATGGTTTAGATTTACAAAGCCAAAAAACTTGTTTTGCATGATCTAATCTCAAGACTGTGCAAAAATTGTTTGTGTCCAGGAATGAGAGTCATAAAGAAATGAGCAATTCTCTTTCATTCAGACAAAGCCTCCATTTGATTCTTTACTCTTCCAGACTCAGAATTTTTCCAACCACAATTCTTTCTTCTGATAAAATGATTTAAAAATTCAACAGCCAACAAGTATGTTGCATTCTGAGTAGAATATCGACGTATGCTATAATGCTAAATAATTATAGCTATACATTTAACTCATGCAAGTCAATTATTACCAAACCAATTCAGAGCTCTTTATTACAACTTCAATACTTATGTAGTAAATTACCAGGCAACAAAACAGAGCTAAAGTGCTATGGCTTTGCTTCATTGGCTGTAAGATAAAGCAACAACAAAAATAATAATAACAATATTTAAGGCATCTATAAGGAACTGGTCATTTTTTGTTAAAGTAACCTGTTTTTTGTGGCTGATTTTGCAATTGATGTAAGATGTGAGCACACATTTAATAGCCTGCAGACTAAATATCAAAATTTTGCAAAATGTAAATACACAATTTTATTTTGCATACATTATAAGATATCAAAGATAACATTAAACATTTAGATAACAGTGTTAAACAATTAGATAACTGTAAAGAAACCTGATAATAATTCTATAAAGTGCTTTCTCTGCTTTAAGTTAAAGGCTAGACTGACTAGTCCATCCAGCAGATCCAGTGTAATATTTTGGCAGCGCTGGCAAACAAAATGAAATAAATGTCATTGTAATGTATTTACTATATACTGTATATTTCGCAGTACTGGGTAGTAGATGCTAGGACATCTGCTGCATAAAACATATGCTGCAATTAGGGCTGCACGATATTGGAATGGTCTGATATTGCAATATTTTATTTTACCGCAATAAATATTGCGATGTGAACACAGTTTCACAATAAAGTTTGAAAAGCACTATTTTATGTTTTTTCTGGGAAATCTAGAAGGATACAGGTACAGAAATTAAATATTCAGAATGCAAAAAATGCTTTTCTTACTTTGCTTTGTCCCAATTCCAGTTAATATACTGTTTTGTTTTCACTGTCAGAATAAACAAGTCAAAATTAAGTGTTTTTCCTTCAAACAAGCAAAATGATCTGCTAGTGGGGTAAGTGAAATAATCAGTTTTTCACTTTGATTTGGACTAGCAGCAAGACAAAATGTCTAAGTACATTTTTTTGCATAAATCATATAAATTCCATAATTCAAGCTTAACATTGCATATCTTTGCGATGAGTCTATTGCAGATTCGCACATTGCAATATCAATGCTAAAATGATTTATTGTGCAGCCCTAGCTGGAATAGTTTGCAGTTCATTCCACTGTCGTGACCCCTGATAAATAAGGGACTAAGCCGAAGGAAAATGAACGAATGATAGAATATTTATATATTTTTATGTTTTATATTTTAGACAACTACATACAACAGTCTTGTCAACAAATATTTTTCAATACTCTTATACATTTTTTCCATACTTTTCCAGAACTGAAATTTCCTAAAAATTGAATACTATACTTTTTCAAACTGGGGTAGTTTTGATAGATGATCCAAAAAAAGTGCTGCATTTTATTTCATAGCTTGTAGTCCACAAAAAACTGTGTACGAAGAACTAAGGAACTAGTTGATATAGGTTTTTGATTTCTGTTGGTATGCAATCTGTTAATATGACTTTGATTTTATTAGTTTTAAGAATATTCTCACCTTTTGAAGAGTGGAGGGTTCGTCTGCACCTTTAGCATTCTTTTCCAAGGCCAAAATCTCTCTCAGATGTTCATTTACCTATGAAATGTAAAATAATAAATATATATATAAAATAATACAAGCAAACAAATGTGGACACTTCTTCACTGTATGAGCAAAAAAGATTCGTTTATATTTTCTTTTCAGTTTGTATTAGACTATAGTTATTTTTACATACCAGATCCATTTTGAAAAAGTTGTAAAAAAAAAAAAGTAGCTTTTTCAAACCATGTGGCCCCTGGCAACAAAACTGGAAAGTGTCCGAATCCACTTTTGCTATTTTAAGGACGGAAAAATATGGTTCGCGCCCCGCTGCATGGTCTAACAGGGTTGTGCTTATTATCTTAATGAGTTATTGGTGTGTTTTGAGCATAGCGTGATTTAAACCAATCAGAATCTTATCTCCCATTCCCTTTAAGAGTCAGTTGTGTCACACCAGGGCACATTAACTACTTACATGGTGGACTTTGTAAGTAGAAAAACCAAATGCTTCACTAGTGAGAAAACAGTTAAACAAACCATCTGCAGCACGAGGATAAAGAATGAGCCTCTTCATTCAGCCTCTTTACTTTCACTTTACTTTTACTCTTTACTCCTTTACTTTGGTGGATAAAATAACGGTGCTGTAAGCACTTCGCTGAAGACATCCATTAGCCTAAATAATTAATTTTGCTTGTTAAGCGCAAAGATTTGTTTTAAAACAAATCTATGTCTAAATTTAGTTATAATTTCCAGCAAATGAATGTAGTCAAAAACCCAAACACACGTTTATCCAAACACACTTCCTATTCTTATGCCCCATATGGTGATGTATACGTCTCCAAAACCTGACAGGTGGAAAAATCAAAACTTGTTTTGATTAAAACAAATATAATTAGAACAGACAATAAAGTTTAAACCAAAGTTTAACTAAACAAAATTATGCATATAATAAATAATACTGCTAATAATAATAACATTATACAAATGCAAATTGTCATGAATAAAATTTTTTATAAATTTGTAACATTTGGAAAAGTTTTCTAACATTTTAATCCTTAATTTTTTTTCATATGTAAAGATTTTTGTGTATTGCTGTACATCCTGTGTGTATTAAGCATTTAAACCTGCATAGGCGCATAACTAACGCACTCTGCGCTGGACTTATCCTGCTTTTATTTGGTCAATGGCAGTCTATTATAGTTCCTCAAAACAGCAACGCTCCAACAACACGCCTTAACACACCTCCTTAGGGCCTACTCACACTATGCTATCCGAGCCCAGATAGCAGATAACCGTGCCAAGGCCCGTTTCCCGGATCGTTTGAGAAGTGTGAGTGCGCTGAATCAGGCTCAGGCACGGTTCACTTGGCTGGCCCTGGCCCGGTTGGAAAAGGTGGGCCTGAGCGCGGTTCACTTGGGCAGTGTGAGTGCAAAACGAGCCAAAGCCCGAAACTGAAGGCGAGACGTGACTTTTAAGGGACTGTTTCATATGGATTTATTAATTATTCTTACTGTTCAATGAACGCAAACTGCCCTAGATTATTAAAGACGCAGACACCTCACTGCACCAAAGCTGCGCACCTTCAGCAGACTTCCTTATTCCTGCAGCATGAGGGCTTTATGATTGTTTATGAGCGCTAAAAGTGGCGGATCTGTTTGGCGAAATATCTGATTGCGTGTCATCGCATCCCTAAGGACTGTTTGGGGAAATATTTGACTGCATATCAAAAGACTGAAACAATATAACTAGAAAAATCTCCTCTGTGCTGAGCGAGAGCGCTTCTCTACTGAACAGCGCAGCATCAATGACGTAAGCGCGCCCAGGCCCGATTGTAGTGTGAGTGCGGGCCGTCGGGGGAGACTGGAGGTGGGACAAGCGTGCTTTGGCCCGGTTCGAGGCAACTGTACATAGCGTGAGTACGGCCTTAATAAACCAGCACACCCATGAGTCCACAAAGTAGTGGAAATGGATTTGCTATTTAAACAACATGGCACAAAACGTGGAAATTAGGGTTGCGTTAGTCTAAATATTGTTAAATAAATCACACCAAACACATCTTGCACCTTATTGCACCAGGTTTTTGATAGGGCCCTAGATGTTTTATTCAATCCTAATATTTCCTTATAGATTTGTTATTAAAATACACCTTTGTTTGCTCTTTCATTAGGAGCTTTAATAAAGCACTGGGTGAGAAGACATTCTAATAACAGAGAAATACCAATGATAAAGAAAATAACAGTTATCATCTTAAACAACATGTAGGCAATCCAGAAAAGGTAAGATCAACACACAAAACAACTGGTGTTGAATTCATGTTTAAAAATGAGGTCCATGTTTATATCGCTATTTTTAAGTTTTTGTTTGTTTATTTGTTTCAGTGGTGAAAATGAATCAAAAGACAACACTTCCCTGCCATGTGAAGGAATGGACAAAAGAGCAAGTTCATTATTGGTTAACTGAAGTAGTTAGATCAGATAAAAAATATGTAGAAAAATTATATGAAGAAGATGTAGACGGAAAAGCATTAATTTGCTATAAATCAGATGATCTTCATTACCTTGGCATTAAGCATGGTCCTGCTGTTATTATTATCAACCAATTAAAGGAGTACAGACGGATTCATGAACCCCATTTTGCATCCCCTGAACATTCCCCAACACAACAAGAAGAGGACAGACTGGAAAAACCAGAGGAAATTCAAGACCTCTCATCAGATCAAATGCCTAGGCACACTATGAAATCGAAAGGAAAATCGAACCAAAAAATGAACTCCAACAAATGTCGAACAACAAACACAGATTCATTAGATATAAAAACAAACCCTCAAACAGCACATTCTCAGCCAAAAGGACCTCTAGCTAGTACCTTTACCAAAGAAACTGAACTAGGAAAGTCACCTGCCTTTAAAACAGCAGTCATCAATGAAGAAAACATAATAAGCAAAGAAAACAGCACAAGAAAATCTGAACAACACTCATGTAGTTTCTACAAATTTGACCAGAGCTCTGCTTCTCATCGATACATTCAAAACTACGTATTGCCACCAGAGACTGGACCAGACAATCTGATTGATCCAGTTCATGAGTATAAGTTTATGGGCAGAACAGATGATATGACTGTGATGAAGAAGAAGTTCAATAAGGAGGTGTTTCGCTTTGCTGCTGGCTGCATGAACAGCCGCACTAATGGAACAATCCACTTTGGTGTAGCTGACTCTAAAGATTCACACTATGTTCATGGAGAGATCATCGGGATCAGTGTTGACAAGAAGGATGCTATCATTGATCACTTTCATCAGGGCATTAAACAATACTTTGAAGAACAAACACAAGAAGCAAAGGCATGCATCAGACAACCACGCTTTGTAGAAGTTCTCTGTCCTGACAGCACTCTATCTGGAAAATATATCATAGAGGTGGATGTTGTACCATCCCACATCATAGTTCATGGAAAGCAGTTTGAAATCCAGACTCTCGATGAAGAAAATCAATGGAAAAAGAGCAAAGGAAAGTCACTCTTCATCAGAGATGGAGCTGCAACTAGAGATATTTATAAAATTGGGAATCCAAAAGACTTGCACTATGAATTGACACGAATAAATGAACAAATAAATGTTCTGGACATGAGGAGGAGGGAGGCAGAAAAGAGACCCGACAGCAAAAGAACATCAAATCAAGGGGAAAAACTGAAGAATCTGCTGACATGTGGAGGAAACAGACTGAATCATTATGATTATTTCATCATTGTAACAAACAAAAGTCACCCTGAACAGCTGCAGCATCTTCAGTTCATGGCAACCTTAAAATTGTTCTGTGTGCTGGACTTTGATCCAGATTCTGTAGTAAATGGATCCTGCCACAATTACAAAGATGTTCGAATTGCAAACCTTCACACAGCAAGCCAGTTTAATGGGGACCCAGGAGCAATTGTGAAAAATCTCAACTTGTACAAACAAACAAGTTGGGTATTCTGTAACGGCAGAAAAGACCTTAATACAGAATCTGACCGACCACTTAAACCAAGTGAATGGTTAATACATAAAGCAGGAGAGGTACAAGACTTGATCTCTTTCATCTGCAATCCATATACTCTCCCAAGAGGACGATTCTTAGTCATATTTCTCCTCCTCTCCACTGTTGAGGCTATGAACGACCCAATTTTTGATACATTCATGTCCTTTTATAAAAACCTTGGTGGTGCAAAGAACATTTTAAGTATTTGCAGTTCTGATGCTTCGTTTCAAAAATGGAAGGATTACATTCAGGCCAGATGTGAACATGACATCAGTCAGCGGAGTATATATGATCTGGAGCTCAGTGAAATTAATGGGACGATACTGAAACTGGGACAGAACAAGCAAAATGCACAGAAACTTCTTCCATCTGCTGAAGGCAGTTCAGTGATTCTGCAGAAGAAAGATGAAGACCTCATGACATCCCTTGATGTCCTTTGTGAGAATGAATGTGAAAATGAATATGACGAGAGCTCTGCAGAATTTGAAGAGTTCAAAATTAAAACTGAGTCTGAGTTCTACAGGGGAGGCAAAGTCAAATGGTGGAACTTTTACTTCTCAGAGCAACCTGCAGCAAAACCGTTCATAAAACGAGACAAACACTCAAAACTCGAGAAAAGTATCAGATCTCAGACCAAAAATAACACAAGAACATGTGTCATGGTGAATCTATTTCATCACCCTGGGTGCGGCGGCACCACCATGGCCATGCATGTGATGTGGAATCTCAGAAAAGAATTCAGATGTGCGGTGTTAAAAGACAACACCGTTTCAAAGGACGAAGTGGCCAAACATGTTGCTCATTTGATGAAGTGTGGAAAAAGTGAGCAATCCTTAAAAACACCAGTCCTGCTACTAGTGGAAGATTCAGAAGAAACAGAAAACACAGTTGAACTTCAGCACTCTTTGAGAAAATTTACAAGAGAAACAGGAGCATTTGTCATCATCTTAAACTGTATACGCACAAAAACGCCAAAAGTTAGGTACTACAATACTGTCATTGAAAGTGAGTACATTACAGCAGCGCTATCTGACAATGAAAAACGTGCTTTTGAAATGAAGCTTAAAGAACTTCAAGAAATAAAGTCTTTCACAACTGAGAACTTCTACAGTTTCATGATCATGAAATCAAATTTTGACACTGAATATGTTGAAAATGTTGCATCTAACATTCTGAAAGATTTCAGAGTTGAAAGCAAACAAGCACGACTCTTCTGCATGCTGGCTTTACTTAATACATATGTGCCTGAACCAGCCATTTCAAGATCTTTATGTGAAGATTTTCTAGGTATAAAATGTGCATTGTGGGGAAGAGAATCAGTGCTGGAGAAAATGGAGCCCTACTCCTGTTTGTTGATTGATTTCGAGGCAGAGGAATATGGAGGACTTAAAGCAATTCGCTTTGTTCATCAGAACCTTGCAACAGAATGTGTGAAACAACTAGAGGAGACACATAACTGCTCTAAGGCTGAAATAGTACTAGAGATGTTGCATTGTGATGCCCTTTTTAAAACATTTGCAGTAAAGGATGTTCTTGTTCAGTCCATCAAATGCATGCTGATCACTCGTCAACGCAAGACAGAAGACAATGAGAAAGACACTCTGTTTTCACCTTTGATAGAAGACATAAACTCAGGAAAAGATGGATTGAACAAAATCCAAGAAATCTTTATTGCAGCATCAGAAAGATTCAATAAAGACTTCACAATACCTCAAGCTCTAGCAAGGCACTTCTACCTGAATGAAAAAAACTTTACTGATGCTAGAACATGGGCAAACAGTGCGAAAGCAATCAAAGAAAACTCCTACACTTTAGATACGGTTGGACAAGTTGCTAGAAGTGAATTAAAACATAAGATTGAGTGTAAAAAGCAGGAGAAGAAACCATGCTCAGCTGAAGACTTGAATGATTGTCTTGAGTTAGCAAGCACAGCAACCAAAGCTTTCAGAAGAGCTCAGAGCTTGGCAAAGACAGATGATGTTCTTGAAAGTGAACAAGAACTACACAGAAAGTTGAGCCCATATAATATATCTGGCTACATGGGTGAGATTGACACAGCCATGATTGTTTTTGACATCATCAAAAAACTGGAACTCTTTGAGAAAGGTGATCCGATGAAAGACCATTACATCCAGAGCTTCCTCAAAGGAAAAATGCCTTTTGAAAACATTCAGTTCTCTATAAAAGAATCCAGCAGTGAATATGCTGTGGTTCTTAAGGACTATGAACATTTTCTGAAATCTTTAAAACCACAGGTGAAAGAGGCATTTGACTTCCTTGAAATTTACTTCACTTACATGAGAGAAAAGAGAGTTGATGATGGAAAAGATATAAAGAATCGTAAAAAACTCTCTGCACACTACCAAAACTACATTGCATTATTTTGCTCATCAGCAGAAGAAAAGCAAACAGAGAGAAATCAAAAACCAAAACTGAGTTTGAATATGAAAATTGAGGAGTATCGAATGTTCCTGGAGGAAAGCAGAGCAGACATTTTCCCAGGTCTTCTCAGGTTTGTTGAGGATAGGAATGAGACAGTAGAAATGATCGCTGAAAAATACTCATTCATACTTGAGAGTTCTGCCATCAAAACTATAAAGGACAAAACAAATCATCTGCTTGCACATATCATACTTAAGTTGATTTGGCCAAAATCAAAACTAGCAAAATCCACAGAGGACCTCAATGTGCTTTTAAAAGATATTCTGCAAGAGGTCAGTACACAGCACCAACATCCAGAGCCGTTTTATCTGGCCATACTCTTGCTCTGGCCAGGAAGAAATGTCAACAGCAGTGGCATTAAGATTTATGTTGATAAAATCAGAAGCTCAGCAAGAAAACACCTCTCTTACATGTACAGAACAAGGTCAACCATTGCTCACTTCTTCCTGGGAAAATCTGATGGAATACAAAGACTTGTGCCAAAGGTTTTCCTTGACAGATCTATCAGGAATGTGCGGGACCGCAACATTCTTTGGCAAACAGGAGAAATCTTTAAGGAACACCCAATAACTAGCAAGCTTGTCAGAGTAAAAGGAACTATTGAGGATGGAGAGGTCTTCACAGAGTATGGTAATCTTAAAATTCCTGTGAGACCTGCATTTCTAGGTGGAGTGAGAAGCGGCTACAGCACTGAGGTAGTGTCCTTCTACATTGGCTTTGCCATGGATGGTCCACTTGCTTATGACATTCAATATGAAGATGACAGATAAATAATAAAAGAAATTATGAATGTAGAAAAATATATTTCTAGTTAGTTACATCACTATGTAGTAGGCATAGGAAGATAACCGTTTTTAAGGTATACCGCGGTTTGGACTAGTCAAGGTTTTAGAACCGCCAAAATGTTCTGTAAAACCATTTCTAAGGTATGTGTAAGATTTTTTTATTTCCTTTTTTTTTATAGGACAACAGTATCTCCAGTAGAAAAGATATCCAAAGAATCTGTTGTAATTTGTAAAGAAATCAGTGTTTTTGAAACTAAGGAAAACAGCAAGTCAATGATTCATTTGAATTATTTAGCCTGACATGTTTACTGCTCCAAAATATTTTAAATCCTTCAACAAAAAAAAATATTTTGTTCTAAAGGGGAAAAATGTTGTCTTTAACCCAGACATTTACAAAGAATATATTTTAGAGCAGTAATCACAATACTGTGAAACCATGATATTTCTATCCAAGGTTATCATACCGTCAGAATCTTATACTGGCCCATGCCTACAATGTAGTATAAAAATATGTCTTCATAATGAACATTAATCACAGATTTAAGTTTCTTCGCAAACAAATTTACATGTGGCAGTGTTAATTTCGTTGACGAAGACAATGACGAAAAATATTCATCAACGAACATTTTTTACAGACGAAAACTAAATAAAAACTAAATAAAAAGTCAGATACGATGACGAAGACGATGACGAAATTTAACTGACACTTTAGTCAACGAATAAAAACGAGAGGAAAATGTTGGGGCGGGACGAATGGAGAAGAGATCCAATAAGAACTACCCTTTTGTGGGGAAATCCAATCAGAGCGAATCTTTTGAGGGCAGGTTGATCTTGGCAAAGCCATTTTCAAAACAAAAGCCGCGGTTTTCAAGTTATGATGACGTTTGTTATACATTATATTTAGTTACACATTATACTTGGTTACAAAGCGTTGGTTAATTTAAGTTGACTTTTCTCGTTAGCAACACGCTAAAGTTTTTTTCACTCGGTCCGAGGGCAGCGTCTCATGAACAGACAGACAGAAATGTCAGAGCTTGGTCTAGGACGAAAACGAAGAATTGACATCTGGTCAAACTTCACATATGACAACAAGGACAACAAGAGCGTCTGTAAACCACGTGGAGTAAAAATCGCTGGGAAAAACACCACCAACTTGAAGCGACATTTACAGACGGCTCATCCAGAAATCCACACCAAGGTAAGCATAAACGCTAACGTTAAGGTTATCCTATAAGATAAACCACCGTGATTCTGCTAAACTTGGAAGAAAATTGAAGCTAAAGGAAATTAACTTTAAATAGTATTGATTAAACGAATTGTCTCGCTGAATTAATTAATATAAATATGTGTAAGTACTATTATAATAGATGTTGTGGTGTTATATATGACTCGACAAAAGGTGTGTGTGTGTGTGTGTGTGTGTGTGTGTGTGTGTGTGTGTGTGTGTGTGTGTGTTATATGGCAAGAAAGAAGAAAATATCACAACTTTGTATGTCATTTATATATTCTCATAGATACAGAAGATGTCTGATGACCATGGGCCAGGTGGAAATAAAGCTAGTGATGCTACTAGTACAACACAGCAGCAGGCCATCTCAGATTTCCTAAGGTCTTCAAAGTACAAGACTGAATCAAAGGAACAACAGACCAAGGAGCAGGCCATAGCTAGATGGATTGGACGGACAGGTTTACCACTCACAACAATTGAGGATGAGGACTTTGTGCTAATGATGGGGATGATAGATGGGAGACTAACAGTTCCAAAGAAAACTAAAACTAGCAATTTAATTAAAACACAGTATGAATGCTGTACTTTATCTTGAAAGAATGTCATATGCGTTTCATATAATTCAGGGACAATGCATATCTTTTTCAGGGAGCACGTATATTGTTCAGGGAGAGCAGGTCTTGTGGTTATTTTTTGTGAAAAAGACTCATGTTTTGACATGTAATAAAATGTTTTTATTACAACAATTAGATATGTGCCTGTATTCTATATATGCTTCCATATATTATATTATACTTACAATTACATGAATTATGGAGAAAAATCTGCTAATATTTGGTCTACTAAAACTAGACAAAGACTAACAGACTTAAGACTAAACTAAGACTAAAACTCTTATGATATTTAGTCAACTAAACTAGACTAAGACTAAAAGATTTCAGATGACTAAAATAGGACTAAAACTAAATGGTGTATTATTCCAAAGACTAAGACTAAGACTAAATCAGAATTTGCTGTCAAAATTAACACTGACATGTGGAAACATTTCACTAAATTATTTTGTATGTCCTGCAGATACAGAATTCATTTATAATGTTTTTTTGAAAGATTGTGTCTAAAGTGCTACTGAAAAATCTTATATAATGTGTAAATGCATGCAATGCAATTTCACATGATCCCAAATAAACATACATTCTCTTTTGACCTGCTACCATTGGTTTGTGTTGATGTAGTGGTAACCTATTTAGTGGAAAGTTAAGGCATGGGTATACTTCATTTTCAACATTGCATCGATCTTGGATTGTGTCCACAAAGCTATTAAAGTGCCCCCATTATGCTATTTAAAAAGAATTTCAAAAGTCACTTAAATTATTTTCTCATAATCCACATTTAAAAATTACTGACTCATAGGGCCCTATCATACACCCCGCGCAATAAGGTGCAAGACGTGTTTGGCGCGACTTGTTGCTATTTTCAGACCAGCGCAACATAAATTTTTACGTTTGCGGCACGTTGTTAAAATAGCAAATCCATTTGCCCCACTTTGTGGACTCATGGGTGTGCTGGTCTTAAAATAGAGGTGTGTTAAGGCGCATTGTTGGCACGTTGCTATTTTGAGGAACTGAAATAGACTGTGCAATAGACCAGCTGAAAGCAAGTCTAAAGTCCAGCGCAAAAATTATTATTTTCATAAATATAGAAACCACTGCCTCAATGCCTTCTTCATCTCGGGGAAGCAGTTTTCAGTTTATTCATGACAATTTGCATTTGTATAATGTTATTATCATTAGTAGTAATATTTATTATTTGCATATTTACATTTGTTTGAATAAAAACAAGTTTAGATTTGTCCACCTGACGGGTTTTGGAGACGTATGCATCACCATATGGGGCATAAGTGTGTTTGGATATAACTCAGTTTTTTGACCACAGTTCATTATTGTTGTTAATTTGTTTGTTTGCTGGAAATTAGAACTGAATTTAGAAATAGGTTTGAAACAAATCTTTGCACTTAACAAACTAAATTAAATATGTAGGCTAATGGATGTCTTCAGTGGAGAGCGTACAACACCTTTTCCTTACTCCGTAAAAGTAAAGGAGTAAAGAGTAAAAGTAAAGCTAAGATAATGGAATGGAAAAAGAATGGAGGAGGCTTATTCTTTATCGTCACGCTGCAGATGGTCTGTTTAACTGTTTTCTCGCTAGTGAAGCATTCAGTTTTTCCACTTACAAAGTCTGCCAAGTAAATAGCAAACGCGCCATGACACGACACAACTGATTGTTAAAGGGAATGGGAGATGAGACTCTGATTGGTTTAATGCATGTTATACACAAAACATTCCCAGAACTCATTAAGAGAATAAGCTTAACACTGCTGGACCATGTGCCAGGTTGCAGAGCGAATTTTTTCGTCCTTACAATAGCAAAAGTGGTATCAGACATGCCCTTAATGCTTTTGCACCATGTGCTTTAAACTTCATGCCTAGATCTGTAAAATAGAGCCCATAGAGTCTTAAACAATTCATTTGATTAATTTAAAAGGATTGCTTACACTTTTATGTATGTGTCTGTCTTTATCTCACTTTTTTTCTCACTATTATCTCACTATTTTGTGTTGGCTTTTCATATATCTGAGAATTATGGCATAACAACATATTTGTATGTAATTACAAACAAAAAACTGCAGCTATGATGCAAGTAAGAGATTCATTTCATAGCTTTAGAGATTATAAGGTACAGGTACTGGAATAAAAGTTTTGTCTTAACATTAAAAGCTTCTCTCTGCATGACACAAGCCAGCTGCAGTGTTTGAGGGTCAAAGCAAGTGTTGTCAATAAAGACTACATACAGAATGAGTTGGTAAACCAAGAATGAGCTGGTACATTCCAGATCATGACATTTTTGCTAACCTTTTGATAACCTGTTAATTTATAGAAATATCAGATTCTATGACAAGCTATATCTGCAAAGATGAAAAACTAGATGCAACATAAAGTTAGCAAACTGAATATACATCAATGCAGGAGACACAATATTCAGCTGAAAATTCACAGAAACAAAATAATGGTATTTAGAATTCACACGTCAAACTTTTTGTGCCTCTGCTATCAGTGTTTACTGTACATCAAAAAAACAAGTCGCTCAGAAGAAGGTAGCCCATGGAGACTACAGCATTAATTTGTGCATCCTAAAACTCAAAATTTATAATGCCTCTTAGTCGCTGACATAATGTTCGGCAGGTATGTCACAAAAACTGCAATGGCAGACGGCTGCTTCTCACTCAGGGCTGTCTATGCTAATGAGGGAGACATTGTTACTAATGGGAAGAACGTTCCCCCTTTGATGACATGCTCAAACGGAGAATGTCATTTAAAGTGTTTCTGCAGACTGTTTTTATTAAGTGTGATTATAAAAATAGAATAAATTAATTTTAGGTGGCGCGGTGGCGCAGTGGGGAGTAGTAGCAAGAAGGTCACTGGTTCGAGCCTCGGCTGGGTCAGTGGGCATTTCTGTGTGGAGTTTGCATGTTCTCCGCCTGTTTTCACGTGGGTTTCCTCCGGGTGCTCCGGTTTCCCCCACAAGTCCAAAGACATGCGCTATAGGTGAATTAGGTAAGCTAAATTGTCCGTATATGTGTGTGAATGAAAGTGTATGAGTGTTTCCCAATGATGGGTTGCAGCTGGAAGGGCATCCGCTGCGTAAAACATATGCAATTGTTCTGATGCAACTGTTCTGTTCTGTGTTGTTTGGTTCTAGATTTATTGACAAATTCACCAGAACAGTAATAATTCTGAATATTTGGCTAATAATTGTCAAGTACTAATAACTCACAAACAGATGCTATTATCCACTGAATGTTTGCTCTAAAAGCAACATTGTTTCTACAGTTTTTTAAACATTACACTTACACAGTGGCTCTAAAAAACTAACTTTTTTCATTATTTATTTACACATTAATGAAAATTTGTTGTAAATATACACTACCGGTCAAAAGTTTGGTTTGAAAGTAAGATTGTTTTAAAATAAGCTTATTCTGCTCACCAAGGCTGCAATTATTTCATCAAAATACACTACAAATAGTAAAATTGTGAAATGTTATCACACTATAAAATAACTGTTCAAAAGTGGTTTATAATTTAATTTAATAATATATTCCAGTGATTTTAAAGATGGATTTTCAGCTTCACTACTACAGTCTTCAGAGTCACATAATCCTTCAGAAATCACTCTAATATTAATTATTATTATTATTATTATTATTGTTATTAATGGTAATAGTAATAGAAGCAGTAATGACTAGAGTAATCATTTCATTTGAAACTAAATACAATACGAAAGCTGTTGTTTAAAATTTTAATAAATATTTAACAATTAAAACAAATTGTTTTACATTTCATAAATGCCGCCTTGATACACAAAATAATTTTCTTTAAAAAAAAAACATGGAACAAAAAAACTGACCCCAAACTTTTAATCGGTATTGTATTTATATTGTACTGTTTGTAATGTTCCCTTCATTGGGATTCAATAACTTAATAACTGCTTCAAATTCACACGCAGGCAATATGTTTACTATAATGTAAGCTGTAGGGATCTCACCTTGTTGATCCATGTTGTCACAGCCTCTTCAGCATCATAAGGAAAGTCTTCCTCAGGAAGGAAAGGAGTGAATTTCTGGATGCAGCTTAGAACTCGCTCTACGCTGACCATTTCAACCGTGTAGGCCATCATTAACGTGTCAATCATTGCCAGGTGAGAGCTCTAAAATGACAAGAAAAAAAACATCACAAAACATCAACACCATGTTCCTTCTTGGCAATCCTCAACACAAATTGTTTTTTAAAGGGGTCTTAATTTGCAAAAGGCCTGACATGACATTGCAAACGTATTGGGATAGAGACACAAGGTCTGACCAAGTCAAAATTACGACTTAAGACCTTTTTAAGACCATGAAAAACAAAATGTCAGACTTATTTAAGGCTAAATGCTAAGGATTTTAATGGCCCAGCAAAAAAAAAAAAAAAGTACTTGCCCCATCAAAACAACAAAAAATTCTCATTCGGTATTTCTGAGCCACATATTTTAAATAATGTATCAAAACAAGCAGACCCTGGTTGTATACATAAATATTATTCAACACAACTTAAAAAAACTCTTTAAAAACGAAATGTATGGACAACATACTGTTATAATATTAGTTATAAATAGTTTTGCTAAAAGTAATTGAGAAGTATTGTTGGTAATTGGATGTGTGTTGGATCGATTGGGTGGCTTTACATCTACAAAACAAGACCTGTTTAAAACAATTTAAGACCTACAAGACAATATTTCGGTGATTTTACGACTTTTTAAAGGCCTAAAATTTAGCTTTTCAAATGTAAGACATTTTAAGGCTTTTTAAGACCCTGCAGATTCCCTGAATACAACAATGTTGATTAACCACTACAAAACATAACTTAGCAAAATGTGTGTGCTTGAACATGTGATGGTCTTTTGGTTTATCTTGAACTACCACTGTCCATACTACCAAATACGGACTGTTTTATACAGTATCTGCTTTGTCACTTTGACCAATAGAGGGCGCTATGCTACTAAAATTGAATAGCATGAGAAACTGAATGTAATATTGTACGCACATAGAGGTTCCAGGCATATCATTTGTATTTTATATAATTTTATTATATAAATCTATACATTAAAAAGGCTGGGTGTGACTATTTATGCAAAAACTTGCAAATGCAAAAATGCAAAAGCCAGATAGTGTATTAACAATCATTAACTTCAAATTCATATTGTTTTGAGAGTTTAAAAGCATCATAATGCATGAAATCTAAATTAAATTGACCTTAAGACATTTAAAAGCCAAGTGGCATCTATGTTAAAATTGTACAGTTGATATTTTCAGGCGCTGCAAAAGAGCCTTAAGCTTCAAGAGGGAAAAAATTAGCTTCTTATCAGTGCATTCAGCCTTTGGAAAGTATTTAGTTTAGCCCATCCAATCTTAAAACAGATTAATGAGATTTTAGAAAATCCCCTTACTTAAATCCTCAAAATGTCTCCAGAATTGGTGCAAAAACAACTTTAAATTCATCTTAACCTGAAGGACATTTATAAACATCTATGCAAATATAATACTTTTAGCTAAAATTGCTCAGAAGACAAAATGTTAGTTTGCTACCGTTCAACATTGTTTTAAACAAGCAAAATAATACTTGTTTAAACGCACTACAACTCTATTAAGAAAAAGTCAACATGGAACAACCACTCAGTCTCGTCTCTTTTCCTGTGGAAATGGTGGAGGAACGCCTGACCAAAACTCCATCTTGTACTCGCCTTATGTCATTCACCAATGTAAAAAACACTTAATTACAACAGCAGCAGTACATTATTACTTGTGTATTTGTAGGCTAGGCAAGTCCCACGTGACTGTGGCTTGCCATTAAAAAGGATGTTGTTTCTATTATTATTTCTAACTGCAACTTTAAACAGCATCAAGCTAAGTGGTAAAATAGTCCACAGGCGCTGACTGGCCTAAAATCTCTTGGACCAGCACTAAAGAAAGTGCAGATTTCTGATTAGTAACAAAAATCCTTAAGCCACTAAAATGAACATATAACAGTTTAATCCAAGGAGATCAGCAAGCTTAGGCTTTTCACCATGCCTAAATAACGAATTTAGGCCTGGCCAAGATTAAACCCAAACATGCTGTATAAATCAATTTCAAAAGAAACACATGTGATGCCAAGTATGTGCTTTTTTCTCCAACTGACAGTTTGCTTGATAAAAACTCAATGGGCCATAGGGACAGCTAATGATAAACAGCCAATGCTAAACTTCTGATGAAAGATTAATGTGAATTTTTAAACAATTTTATAAGGTTCCTTTTACAGAATTGATGTTGTAATGTAAGGGCACACTCATATTATGCTATCCGAACTGTGCCCAGGCCCATTTCCCGGATCTTTTGAGAAGTCTGAGTGCGCTGAAGCGGGCTCAGGTACGGTTCACTTGGCCGGCCCTGGCCCGATTAGAAGAGGTGGGCCTGAGCGCGGTTCACTTGGGTTTTGGCGCGGTACGCTTGTGTGTGAATGCAAAACGTGTCTGAACCCAAAACTGAAAGCAAAACGTGACTTTTAAGGGACTGTTTCATATGGATTTATTAATCATTCTTACTGTTCAATGAACGCAAACTGTCGTAGTTTATTAAAGATACAAACCCCTCACTGCACGACAGCTGCGCACCTTCAGCAAACCTCCTACTACCTGTAGCATGAGGACCTTATGACTGTTTATGAGGGTCAAAAGTGGCAGATCTGTTAGCCAAAATATTTCTCTGTGTGCCACCGCATCCCACACGACTAAAACAATATGAGAAATCTCCACTGTGCTGAGCGGGAGCGCTTCTCTACTGAACAGTGCATCATCGATGACGTAAGCATGCCCAGACCCGAATGTAATGTGAGTGCGGGCCGTCGGGGGAGACTGGAGGGGGGACAAGCATGCTTTGGCCCAGTTCAAGGCAACTGTACATAGTGCGAGTACGCCCTCAGTTTCGAGCTCTGCCGCGTTTTGCACTCACACACAAGTATACCGCACCAAAGACCAAGTAAACCGCACTGAATCAGTGCACTTACACTTTTCAAACGATCCAGGAAACGGGCCTGGGCACGATTCAGATAGCATAGTGTGAGTAGGCCCTTAGAAGTTTAAGCATAAAACAACAGAGGAAATGTTAGCGCCGTCAGTAGCAGCAGGCTAGCGCAGAAGCTCCATTGAAAATACTGGGGTAAAATGAATGTTCATATTTCAAAGACATGGCAGGGAAAAATGGAATTTAATGCAGTGCTTTTTTCCCGGTCTCAGACCCACTTTACATCGTATATCAATCAGGCAGTAAAGATCACAGGTTTTTTTAATGAAATCAGATCTTAAACATGGCGATTTTGTAAAGAAAAGACAGTTCACCAAAAGTGCTTTGGCTGGCTGACTTAATATTAAAAGGTTGTGTGGACTGAGAATACAAAAACAAAGCTTTTGTTATGAACACTAACAGATGACAAGCATTTTTAGCTTTACTGTCTGTCTGAGAAATACAATAACTCCAAGAAGCTTACCAAACATTATCGCCAGGGTCCAAAAACATTCCCTTTATTCCAACCAAACATTTTGCATATTAGTATGGAGTTATCACGTGCTGCTTGTGTATACTGTCATTTTGCAAAATATAGGTATATAGGTAAATAAGATGTAAGCTAGTGAAACAGATTATGCCATAGTGACTGTCAAAATGATAGGTGAAAAATGATGCTTTTATAGACAACATGGGAAAATGGGCAAGATTAGATTTTTTTCTGTTTCTTACTAACCTTTAAGTGACTAACTAATTGTGTAACAAATGGCTATCCTGAGGTAAACGCATTGCTTGACATGATTTACAAGCCATTTTATTGACATTTCATTACGTGTACTGTAAAAAAATCTGTTAATTAGCAGTTTCTGTAGTTTGTGATTCACAAGTGTTCTCTGTTTATTGTGAATTGCATTATGGGATGTTGATCTCTGCTCTGTCGATGTTTGATGCTAAAAATTCAACTTCACAGTTTAACAAAGTGACTTTTATTGACATTTTAGTTGTTTGAAATAATATATTGTATAAGGAACAATACAGAGAGAAATAAGTCTGTAAAACAACAGAAAATGTACTGGTAGTTTATTAAAAGTTTTTTTTTTTTTTTTTTTACTGTAATATACAACACCAGCCCAGACAATATATCACTTTAAACTATTAAAAATGTTCATAAAAGTAACTTTTTCTAACTTCAAGGTTACAAGTTGTTGGAAAAATGATCAAGGGCCCAAATTGCAATTCAAGAGCATCAATAAACAGGGGAAAATACAAAATATGAATCACAAAATTCAAGAAACTGATTGTTAAAGAATAATCTCTACAGTGTAGTACTTATAAGAGAGGGATCAGTTGATCGGTATTGACCAGTATTTTTTTTTTAATGGCCACAGGCTTTTGTAAATTTACTTATAACTGCTACATCAGCATCTCTTTAACAGAGCCTCCATCTATTCTGAAAAAAAAAAACTGATTCACACACACACAGAGTCAGAAAATGACAATTTTCCTTTTTTTGGTAAGCTCTGCTTAGGTAAGTCCACTGAAAGCAACTTGAATGAATGGATCCTTACAATAACGTAGCCGACTTACTGTTTCTTGTTCATATAGTACTCAACACAATGCACTGAAGTCTATTTTAGGGGTTCCAGGCATGTTTACACACATTTTTATCATCTTTTATTGTAGAAACAAGCCCAAACCTCAAACAGTGCTGATCAGAGATAGCAGAGGATTGTACGGCTCTGTCAGATTGAATCTATCTGATAAGTTTTCTCTACACTGCAGGCTGCTGCAAATCCCCGAATCACCAAACATAACTTTGCATGAATAAAACCCTAATATGAAGCATCTGCACTGTTACACACATAAGAACTTAAGAAAAGAGCCTTCAACAATTTGTCTATTATTTGAGTCCTTCAGACTTGATTGAAACCTACAGGTAAGTGTTGAAGTAGGGTTGAAACTAAACTTTGCAGGGCTGAGAACCTTCAGGAGTTTGACTCCCCTGGTAATGGTATAGATAGAGATTACAAGCAATGATAAAATGTTCATAGTGTAAATGCAAAAGGAAAAATAACGTGTTTGGGAAGCTTGTCATAATTCTAATACACAGAAAATACAAGAATTAACATGT